CGATAACCATTGATAATTTCCTACCATTTTGTCTGTAATTTGCTAAGTCCCCCCTATTATTATGTTATCCTTCTTTTATTCTTTAAAATAAAAATTTAAAAAAACAAAAACAAAAAAAAAAACTGGAGCTTTCCTGGCAAAAGGGTGGTCTTTTCCACCTATGGTTTTATACATGTGCATGCACCCATATCTGTGTATTTACACAGGCACGCACACACATGGAGACTGAAATATAACACTCAAGGATTGTATTCTTAGGAATATACTTAGCACAGTAAGCCGAGGAAATGAAACGCATGTCTACAAAGGTGCTTTTCAAAATAGCATAAACCCTTCCTTCAGGAGCTTGAAATTAAATTAGTTCCTATGTATTCAGAATCAAACCTAGTAACACAACAAGATGAAACAAGCGATCAATAGCGCAGTAAGAGCGGCTAACACGTGCATGAGACAGGTCCAGTGTCAGGAGCGAAGGGCTTTCACCGCCCTTAGTTATCACAGCCCTGAGACTCAGACGTGACTACTCACTCCTCAGGTGAGGGCGTGGAGGCTGGCATTCCCCACGCGGCTGCGCCATAGTGTGATGCAGAGTACAGCTGGGGCTAAGGGGCTGCTCCCCCACACACACCAGGGCAGAGGGGAGAAAACCAAAGCCCCGAGCCTGCCGGGGCAAACTCCAAAACCCCAGGCCAGGACGCACGCATGGCAATGACCACAGCAACCTTCTCACCCCGCGCTCACTGCAAGTTCATGCAGCCGGGCCGCACCCCACAGCTTTAACGACGACAGAGAGGATGCTGGGAAAGGATACGAGCGGCAGACGCAGCTGGCAGGACGGCACCGTCAGTCACGCTCTGGAAGCCCCAAAGGAGGCGCTCCACACCACAGCCTTTGAAACCCCCACAGCTCACGTCCCCAGCGCTTGCGCCACTCTCCTCTCCTCTCGCCCACTCCACGCTGTCACCTTCGTGAACTGCTTTTTCCCTCCCACTGTGTGCTCGGAGCTCAGCAACACCCAGGAGCCTGTCCTGGTCGTCACCCACCATAACAAGTGGGCTCAAGCCTGAGTGTGCTGTCACGTCCTTCAATTCCAGCTATGAATTTACAAAGTCAGAAACGGAGCCTTCCTAACCTTAATCCTCATGGGACGAGGAGTATCTTTGTGTCTACATTCTCAAATTTTGTTGCTTTAAACCTACGAACTATGCCCAATTTTCAGCCGCCTTTTATGTCACCGACCCGACACCTGTGCTTGACTACGCTGCTCCACTCGACTCATCTTTGCCCGTCACAGCCACAGCGCAGGAAACCGGCAGGCCGCATTGGTTCAAAATAAAAGCAGAGGGCCGGGCATGCTGGCGCACACCTGTGATCCCAGCACTCGGGAGGCTGAGGCAGGAAGATCATTGTGAGTTCAAGACCAGCCTGGGCTACAATGTGAGCTCAAGGCCAGCCTGAGCTGCATAGTGAGACCCTGTCTCAGAAAGACAAAAAAAAATAAAAAATAAAAAATTAAAATTAATTAAAAAATAAAAGCGGAGCCGGGAGCATAGCTCAGCGGCACAGCGCCTGCCTGACAAGCACGTTCTAAGTTTGACCCTCAGTACCAATAAGTAAGTAAATACATAAAAGTGGAGATAAAGCCTTTCCCTAACTTGAACTACTCATCACTGCTAGCCACCCGGGCCCACACGCCGAGATCCCGACACACGGTGGTAAAAAGGACTTACTTATCCACAGCCAGCTCCAAGACGGACAGGCTCCGCTCCCACACCCCCCTCAGCGTGCACAGGGCCGCTGGGCTCTTCTGGCGCCCTGTCCAGGCCAGCGCAGGCCGCACCTCCCTCCCTGCTCCATGAAACTGGCCTGGACCTCCTGGGCTGGCACTGAAGCCTCTTGTCATTGTTTGGGCTGGGGAACGGGTGGCAACCCTGTCCTAGGCAAGAGGGAGTCTGGAGACGCCATTCTTCTCAAAAGGAGAACCTCAGTGCAGGGACCCTCGGGGAGCCCAGGCTGCGTGGGGAGCTCAGAGAATAGGGGTGGTCAGGGGGACACAGAACACGCGTTTCCTGGAAACTTCCACCCCATGGAGAGACAACGCGGACGTCATATTAAGCCAAATATGCAAACAAGAACGTTTTATTTATCTAGGAAAAAAAAATAGGCTATACAGATAGACAACAAACAGCAATATATAACAAAGTTCCAAAACACAACAAAGAAAAAGTCTCATCCACAAGAGTATTTACAGGTTTAGGGCCCGTATTCAAGAAGAAACAACATTCTCAGGCCGCTGCAGACGCAGGACGGAGTCTCCGGCAGCACGCCTGGGAGGACCCGCGGCTGGCCCTCCCCAGGACTCGGCACAGATCAAGTCAGTAAATTCCTGGAAGGTACTTCCACGTGCAGAGATGTGAAGACGGTGCCTTTGAATATTTCTGAAAATAATAATCAATGCAGGCACAGTGGTGTAATTCTAGCACTCAGGGAGCTGAGGCAGGAGGACTGCTGTGAGTTCAAGGCCAGCCTGAACTACAGTGAGAGCCTGCCTCAAAAAACAAAAACATCCAACCAAACTGGCCTGCAGTGGGACCCGAGGGTGGTCTCTAACAAATGATCACAATCGTAACGGTTCTGCTCCATCTGAGGGCAGAATAATTGACTGTTTTTACAAGTGTCACTTCCTGCACACCTTTTTCCCTGGTGCTGGGGCCAAGCTCAGGGCCTCACACGTGCTAAGAAGCGCTCCACTTCCGAGCTGCACCAGTGCGCTACACTATCTTACACAGACGAGAGCCGTCCTGAGGCTCCTTGGACATCGAGTGTAGTCAGGCATACAATAAAGACTGAGAAAAAGTTCAGATTCGTCGAACAGGAGCAAACATCATTGCCTTAACCAGGTGCTTCCGCCCTTCACGCCTGCTTAAAAGCGAAGGCTGACAGTTTCTGATCAGCAGGAGGATCGGCAGGTTTTTGCTTTTTGGGCAAATGCAGATTCTCCTCCGCTGCTTCCTCCTGGTCCTCCTTGTGACACTCATCGCCCACGCGTTTCCGCTTCTCCGCTTCAACTCCATGGCCGGCGGCTCCTCCCTTGGCCTTGTGAGTCCACATCTTGGTGAGAAGTAGGGTGGAGAGGAAAGATTGTTAAGCAATAACAAACAAATTGGATGGAAATGACTTCTTTACATTTCCAGTAGCATTTTTACAGATAAACAGAATTAGCATTTGAATTATTAAGCCTACCATTAAGAGTTCTAATTATTAGCAGACCTTTTATTCTTTGGGAAGAAATATTGGCAAACTATTGGACAAGGGGTTGATGGTCAGGATATTTAAGGAACTTAGAAAAATCCGTAGCCAAAAAAATAACTCAGTTAAACAATAGACCTTTCTCAAAGAAGACACACAAGGGCCACAAGGCCACGAAAAAAAATGCTCAGGATCTGTAATCAAGGGGATGCACGTCAAAAGCACAATGAGATACCCTCTTACCCCTGAGAACAGGCACCAGCACAAAGACCAAAGAACGGACGCTCCCGGGGACGGAGCACAGGCAGCCTCGCGCCCCGCTGGTGCGGTACTAGAAGCCCAGCACATGGGAGGCTGGACAGCCCAGCAGCCCCAGGCCCAGAGGAACGCGAGACACCACGCTCCCGCTGGTCATAATGGCCGAGAAAGGCACCAAGTGCGCACCAGTTGAGAAGTGGTAAAGAAAACGCGGTGCGTTCTTACAAAGTCACACTGTCGGCCGCACCGCGGAGAAAGTGAAACCCCATCACCTGTGACAAGCTGATGGAAGTGGAGATGTAAGTGAAAAGAGCAGGAGGGTATGTACTGCAGGATCGCACTCACTCGGAGTCTGAAAGCACGATCGGGATGGAGACATAGCCTAGAGGGAGAACGCGGGCCTGGATGCACAAGACCCTGAGTGTGACTCCCAGCACCGCAAAAATAGGTAGATAAAAATGAAAAGGTAATGCTGGGTGCAGTGGCGCACACCTGTAACAGCATCCGGGAGGCTGAAGCAGGAGGATCACTGGAAGCGTACAGCCAGCCTGGGCTACATAGCAAGTTCAAGGCCAGCCTGAACTACATCGTGAGATCCTGTCTCAAAAAATAAACGTTGATCACACAGAGGCTGAGAGCAGAACAGCGGTTACCAAGGCTGGGCGGAGGGGCTGGGGGCATGACAGGAAGGCCGGCAGCGGGTACTAAGCTGCAGTTAGCAACAGCAAGCGCACGGCGGTGTGGCTACAAAAACAGAAGGATCTGGAGCTTTCATGGAAAAAACAATGACTGTGAAACGTCTGAAGAGACAGACACAGAATGTTTGACTCTGATTTAAAAGACAGACAACGTGCTCACGTACTGAAACTTAATGTGACACCTTGTTCACATGCACAATTTTTACATAGCAGTTATGTTTTGTTTTTTTTTTTTTTTTTTTTTTTCTCCGGTACCGGGAACCGAACTCACGACCTTGCGCTTGCCAGGCAGGCGCTTTGCCGCTGAGCTAGATCCCCAGCCCCTTTACATAGCAGTTAAACATCTAAAACACTTCTAAAAACATCCAATCTTTTATTCTTAATTGCAGAGCACGCTAAAAAACTGACATTCTATTTCTGTAATAGTTCAGTCTAAACTCAGCTTGCAATTACTCATATTAAGTACAAAATATTGTAACTGCAGGAACTTTCTGAGGTAATTGTAGGGTTTTTGTTGAGGGGGGTTCTAATACTGGAGACTGAACCCTGAGCCCTGGCGTTGAGCTACAGACCAGTTTCACTTATTTATATTTTATTTCAATACAGGCTCTTGCTAAGGTGGCCAGGCTGGGTAAGAACTTGGAATCCTCCCGCCTCAGCTTCCCAGACAGAGCTCCCACCATGCCATGATGCTGAGTGTAGATTTACATGTAACTGCAGGAAAGGCCCTGAGTAGCCTGGGCCCGTTCTCCCAAGTGCTAATGTCAGTAAGAACTACTGTCAATTCTCACAAGCAGGGTAGTGACACTGGTAGCGTCCTGCCTCTTCCTCCCAGCCCACTGTGCGTCACCAACACTGTCTACTCTTCACTCCTAGCGCACTGCCACCCCAGAAACGCCACCCCAACTGCGTCTGCGGCACAGACCATCCATTCCACGAGGGCCGAATAATGCACAGCATTTCATCTGTCTCTTCGTCTTTTAATTTCTAATAGTTCCGTTTCTCCTGTTTTATTTTCCTGGCCACTTACTGATTAATTTCCCGCCCAGCACTGGGAATGGAAGCCAGGGCCTTCACACTGAGCCGGTCCCATCTGCTTTTCATTTTTGAGTTTGAGACAGGGTCTCACTAAGTCGCCTATTACCCAGGCTGGTCTGGAACAACTCTCCTCCCTTGGCCTCCCAGAGTGCCAGGATTACAGGTGTGCACCACACTCGGCTGACATTAGTTTTGGGCATTCAAAACCACATTCAGGCTGGGAATGTGGAGGCTGCCCGGCTACCAGGTGCAGGGTCCTGGGTTCAAGTCCTGTCTTTCCTCCCTATTCACTCAGATGCCAGTGTCTGCAATTCTGCACTCTTTATTCCCTTTAGACATACTGACAAAAAAAGCAGGAAACACAACCTTGATAACTGCTGTATGTGGGCTGGAGTGGCTAGGCCAGACGCTACCTTCCTCATGACTCGAGACCTTTCCTCGTAAGCCCCAGAGCCAGCGGCCCAGCGGCTGTCACTGTGGCCCACACGCAGGATTCCCAACTTCCCGAGGAGGCCGGCTCCTCTCCCTCCCAGGCAGCAGGGACAGAAACCTGACCCCCAGGGGAAAGGCGGGGACAGGACATGACACCAGCTTTTCCCCCCCAAATGGAGTATTCTTAGGCAAGCCCATGGCTTTTTAAATTACACTTGCAAGGATCATAATGTAGTTCAAAAACATGAATTAACATCATGTTTACTTATTAATCGTTTTTGGTTTTGGTTTACAAAGAATAGATCTTTTCTTGAAGGTATTTCCCGAACTACAGACACCGAGGAATTATACAAAAATAAATACTTAACTGCCCCCAAATTAAGCATGGGCACTCGGCAGCAATGACTACAGATCCCTGTGCTCGAAACTGACATGTCCATTTATTTAATTTCCCCTCTACCATGAATTGTACGCTGTATTCAATTTCTCTGAAACTTCTGTAAGCCTGAAAAATTCACAAAGATCTCAATCTCAGCCCAACTACTCTTACCTTCCTTTCTTCAGCCGACAAAACCCTGAATCGAGTCATTCCTTCCTTTATTATATCTGTTTCATCTGAAAACTCAGGATTGTCAAGCAAAATATTACTTCTGTTTTCTTCCAGCCACATCTGGAACCCAGTCTTCGGCCTGAAATAGCAATTGTATAAAAAATTTATGATCAGTGCGCAGCTTAAAGAGTTTTATGGTTTGAGACAGGGTCTCCCTACGTAGTCCAGGCTGGCCTCGAACTTGTGATTCTCCGGCCTCAGCCTCCAGAGTGTGGGGATTGCAGGCAGGGGGCACCACCACCCGCTCTTACCACTTTTTGAGTTAGTAATCAACCACAGTCCTTGCCTACCTATATGAAGCAAGGGAGACCCCACTTCCCTGTGGACACCCGTATTACTCTCAGTGTCCGGGGACTGCAGGGTTAATGGACTGAAAAGGCCGTGGAGAGCCGAGTGGCGTGCGTTTCCTGAGAGCAGCCGCGTGCCCTCTGTACCATTCCACTCTCCTCTCCACGCCGACAGACTCCAGGCCCCGCTCTCTCAGCCCCGCGGCCCGGGGCCCCATCCTGACTCCCCCCGGGGCCTCTGACCGCAACCCCACACTCTGGCCGCTGGCTGCTTTCCCCACAGGCACCAGGGCGCAAGCACTGCTTTGAGTGAAGGCGGGGGAGCATTCCAGGCTCAGCAGTGCCACCGCCTGGCATTCGAGGGCTGCGTGCGACCACCGGGACCACGGCCCGTGACTTGCTGACCGTAAGCACCTCCACGCCAAAGCCAAGGAGAGGAGCGGCCAGCACAGGGGCTCAGCAGCTCGGCGCCAGGCTGGGCATCAGCAGCCAGGCAGTTTGACCCCCGGTCCTCTATTTAACCACCACTGTGCTGCTCTCTACGCTGACGCTGAGCACAGCCAAAAGGTGACTTCAGGAACACAGCAAAGATGCCAGGGGAAAATGTGACAAAACGTTAAAGGGGAGCCGGGTGTGGCGGCCCAAGCCTGTGATCCCAGCACTAAGGAGGCTGAGGCAGAAGGATCGCCCTGAGTTCGAGGCCAGCCAGGGCTACACATGTCTCAAAAAAAACTTTAAATAGAAACAAAAATATAGGATATAAAACTATCTCTACTATAAACCTCATTAAGTATAAAAGCTTAAATTCACTCGAAAAGCATTAGTAGGAAAGAACTACCTCTATAAAACAGTGAAAATCAAGTTGTCTAAACTTTTTAACTTTTAGAAAACAAGTCATTAAAAAATATTTACATTTATGACTGTAACCATGTGCCCAATGTCTGAAAATGCACAAATTTCAAGTAATCTTCTTAATTTAGTGTTATTCCTAGAAAAATATTACAAACAAAAATCACTGCTAAACAAAAGTTCTTGAATTTCCAGACATTAGAAGATTCATTTTAACCAGATTTGGGGCAACACTGCAAGTCTGACTAATAGCATGCAATCTTCTGCATCCAAACAGCTGTTTTTCAAAAGAAAACAAAACTATTTCCTTCTGATTCAGTAGATCAACATCTGTGACAAAATATCTGATTAAACAGAGTAATTTCTTAGAGATTTCAAAAGGTGTGTTTTTCAAATAGACAATGATAATATGGAAAGCGGAATTATCAACCTTCTAAAATAAAATTTTCAGTTTAAGATATAAATCAAATTTAGAATGAATAGAAAACAACTGCAATTTAAAATCTCAGCTAGGGGCCGGGGATATAGCTCAGCGGCACAGTGCCTGCCTGGCAAGTGCGAGGTCCTGGGTTTGATTTCTGGTACCAAAAAAAAAAGCCCAAAACAAAACACAGCTACTCTCTTCTGCTCAAATTAAACTAGTTAAGAAAATGAGAAGGTGGGTGTGGTGGTGCATGCCTGTAATCCCAGTACTCTGGAGGCTGAGGCAGGGGGATTGTAGGCCAGCCTGAACAACAGCAACAAAAAAAAGAAAATGAGATTCAATGCTAAAGGGAAAATGATGCCTTTTAAAATGCAATCAATTCAGCTACGATAAATCTAGCATACCAGAGATCAAGAAATTTAGTAAGGTAGGTGTGGTGGTATGTGCCTGTAACCCTAGCTATGGAAGGAGGCTGAGGCAGGAGGATCACTTGGACTCAGGAGTTTGAGGGCTGTCTGGAGACACAATAAGACACTACCTCAAAAAAAGGAAGAAAGAAGGGAGGGAGAAAGGAAAAGAGGGAAGAAGTAATAGACTTAAAACACTGTTGGTAGATAAACAGGACACAGACAAATAGGAATTGTCATACTGCTGGAGATACAGAAAACGATATATCAATGTACAATAAGTTGGCAAGGCAACATCTAGCAGCATTAGAAGTGCATAATAATTGGAACTGTAAGGGAATATGAGATACATATATATAGAGAGTGAGAGAGATTTGCTGTTTCGTGACAGGATCTCACTCTGTAGTTCAGGCTGGCCTTCAACTCCATGTAGTCTAGGCTGGCTTAAACTCATGGTGATGCTCCTGCCTCAGCTTCCCGAGTGCTAGGGTGCCACCACACCTGGCTCACATGTATGTTTTTACTTTTTGTTGCTGTTTCCTGTGTAACTGTACTATTAAAAACAAACACGGATTTGTAAACTGTAGTGTCCCAATGAAATGTACCCACAACTGAAGACATACTTGACCGGTGTTGTGGCCTCCTGCCTGCTACCTGTGTTCAGACGCCCCGTGCCTGCGCCCAGGCCTACCCACCCACCGCACGGAGCAGCAGAGGCGCAAGCACAGGCCTCTGAATAACCAGCCACGCAGCCTGCCATTCCGGGCCTGCAGCATGGTGCGCCGCCCCTGTACACCGACCTCTGGGCTTCGGGGTTTGGAGGACACGCGGCTGGGGCGCCAGGTGACGCGGCCTCAGGGTTTGGAGGACAGGCGGATGGGGCGTCAGGTGGCGCGTCTTTAGGGTTTTCTTCTTTCACTCCCTCCGTCTTCTCGGCCTGAGAAGCTCTTTTCTGGAAAAAGGATGCTGCAGAGACCTAGAAAAACAAGTATCAGTGCTAAATCAAACAGAATTTTATTTTACAACCAAATTCTGACATAGGTGAGGAAACATTTACAATGATTTACAATTCTTATTCCAAGTGAAGTTTTAACTTCTCGCCTGAAAATAAACGTAGACACACAAAATCCCAAAACACTGTATGTCACCTTCCGTGCTTCCTAAATGGCTGCAACGATAGGGAACGGAGAGGAAAAGTAACAAACCAATTTAACAAATGTGGGGTGGAAAACATACGCGACAGCGGACAAGTTCAGAATACAGAACAAGGGCCGCACACTGCAATCTCCTGATTGGACAAGAGTGCGCCACAACCGTCTGGGAGGTTTTGGAAACATACAGGTAGATGTCCGAGGCTCTGAGGATGGACGGACAGAAAGACAGACAGAAACACACACATTCCGGAGCAGACCCTTAACCAAAGCCACCGCTGAGCCGGGCAGTCAGGACACCGCCGGCTCCTCCTCGCCGCTCCTGTGCGCTGCACCTGACCTGCGCTAACCGCAGGCGTGGGCGGCTGGACCGGTACCTGCTTGGACTTCGGCTTTGGAATCAGAGGCTTAATAACCGGAGACTTCTCGCTACTGGCCGCTCGACTCGCTGCACTGGGTTTCCTGGACGATTTGCTCATACTGTCTAAAATATTTGTCGAACGTGGCGGGTTTGCATCCCGGGCTGACTCTTTGGAATTGGCTGATACCTAAAGGCAAGCATTTTACGTTTAAAGAAGGAAACAAAAATCCCAGCAGATTCCTTTTGCTTTTACATTTCCGTCCCATTTGTACTGCAGTCTCATCTTTGGAAATGACTGCACGTGGTTACAATCCAAAATAAGAGAATGTTTGTATTTCTCCAACACCACATCCCCCTGCCCTTAGAAGACAAAAGGAACTCGTAACTCTCAGCCCAGTGCAAACCAGGGCAACTTTGTCTTCTCTAATTGTCCGAGTCCAGGGAGGGCCACCTGGAGATCCTGCTCGGCTCCCGCATGTATTTAAATAATAGAAAACGTCATGGGAAGTTTACCTTGAAGGGGTTTACTCGGCCTTGGTTGCTAGGAGTAACCGCACCTTTCACAAGAAAGAAACCTTTACTTAATACTCATGGAAATAAGCAGACGACCTCCAGCTTCTGTAACACTACACTGAATGCTTCATGTCTACACAGCATATAAAAATGCAGGTGCCTTGTAACTTCAAACTTTCGTTAGCAAGTACAGATGACTTCTTCTCTACTTCCAACACAAAGCGAGGATGAGGGGGAACCGTCCCAACTTGCCCTGCGAAACACACCCACCTCCTCCTCCTGCCACGACCGCTGGGGATCCGGCCTCAGCTCGTCTTTCTCCATGCGTGCCTGCTCTCCCAGGCCTGCCCGCGTGCACCCACGACCGTGACTCTCTCAGCCAGGCCGCGCCAAGTCCTGACCCGAAGGTCTCCAGGAGGTGCCGCTCAGCTCACAGTCGGCCCCTCCTCTCCAGGTGTGCTCTCCCGCACACTTCCTGACTCGGCAGAGGTCACCCCGAGTGCCCTAGAGCCCGGGAGTCCTGCACCCTCTCAGCTCCTACTCTGCCCCTCCACCACCACTGCCCTCGCCCATGCCGCGGTTCCATCACACGCGGACAGCGCCAGTGGGCTTCCTTTGGCCACCAGAGGCCTTCTGCGCCTCTCAAGGCAGCCTTGGGATAAAGACCAAAACACTCAGGTGGCCGCTCTGCCATCAGACCCCAACCTCCCCACCCGGAAGTGCAGCTCCCGGCTCCCCTCCTGCACCTGGCTGACTCGTTCACTTTCCGGCCCCTGCTGTGCACACCCCTGGAGGCCTTCCTTGGAGCCCCCGCCCGCCCCACCACTGCCGGGACCACACACCCTTTTAATATTATACACATGCTTTTCAAGTTCATTTTCTTCAAGCTAATTTTTATCTAAGTAATATTTGTATACAACTTTTAAGCTAGTACCAAAGTAATACACATACAGTTTTCAAAGTCTAACGGCACCACAGGGATTACATAAAAACAAACAGAACAACAAAACCCCCTGCAGTCCCCTGCTCCAACCGCTCCTGTCCCCAGCCTTACTCCCCAAAAGCAGCTCCCTTAATTCTTTCACTGTTTCCCCGGCACCCTGAATGTTTCCTTAGCGATGCAGCTGTGTGCAGCACCCGTCTCCCCGGCAGGACTGAAATCACGTTAGGCCGGGGACCAACCTCTTGTGTCTAGCTGGGTTCTGCATTGCTATCTAGCAAAATGCCTGACACACGCCAGGGATTTAATATACAAGGGTACAACGGTCAGTCTCTGACAAAAGCAACAATAAAACAAATCCCAACCCAAAGCTGTATTTAAGCAGATAAATTACTTTAAAAACATATGTAAAACTTTCTTTCTTTCCTTTTTTTTAGTACCGGGAACTGAACTCATGACCTTGCGCTTACCAGGCAGGCATGCGCTGCTGAGCTATGTCCCCGGCCTGAGAACTTTCTGGACATTACAAATTTCCAAGTATTTCTCACCTGACTTAATGGCAGGCACATCAGAGGCATTTGCACTCTTGGAAAACAAGCTCTGTCCTATGTACAAATAACAAAAACAGGTCAATGTAAATGATGAAAGTAAAGTCATTCTTATTATTCAAGAAGGTCTGAGCAGGCACGGGGATTTGATTTCCCTTCAATGCTAATTGGGGCAGCCACACCCATGACATTTCTCCGCTCCTGTTGCTTGCAGGCGTATCTTACCGTGCTTGGGGAGCTCGGGGTGTTCTTCTGTCTCAGCTGCTCTGTCCTCAGCATCTTCTTCCCCCTGACTTCTGAGCCTGGGCTGGCTCCACTCCGTGGCAGTATTACTGTAACTAACAGAACAGCACGACTCCGTGAAGAGCTACGGAAACACTGGCTTAATATTCACAACGTTAAAGGAAAACTCAAACAACTGAATTTGTTTACCCGGCGTTCAGCTTTTGTCTGAAATCCTCCTCTTCCTCCTCCTCCTCCTCCTCTGTCTCAGCGGCTGCCAATTCAGCTGCCTTCTCTACAGCAAGCTCACTAAGTTTTTGGGCCAATATTAATTTCCGAGAGAGAGAAGCATATTTAATGGCTAAATTCACAGCATTCTGAGTCATTAGATCTGCAAGTTCCACACAACGGAATTCTCGCTCCAGTTTGCAAGAAAGCTGACCAAAAAGAAAAAAACCTGAAATTATGTTAGGTAAAGGCTTTTCAAATACATAGTACAGCTCTCTAGATACTGTATCTCATCGATTCAAGACGTACAACTTCACACATGAACATTTCTGCAACTGGAAAGCATCTTACAATTAAACCTGGGTAAGTTCAGCAGCATTTTTTTCCGTCTCAGTGGCTTAAGTGAAAAAAAACAACAGTGCATGTTACCATCAATAGATCAATAGTCACTTCGATTCCATGCTATATGGCACATCATTTCAGGTTATAAGTTGCAAGAAGAGTAAGGAGCTTGTTTAAAAGTCAAATATGGGGCTGGGGATATAGCTCAGCGGCACAGCACCTGCTGGGCAAGCACAAGGTCATGAGTTCAACTCCTGGTACCAGAAGAAAAAAAAAGTCCAATATGGTTCTTTTTGGTTTTTTTTTGAGACAAGGTCTCGTTATGTAGCCCAGGGTGGCCCACACTCCCAGTGACGCTCCTGGGCCACCACACCTGGCTCAGGTGTGTCTCTTTTAAATTTGTTTTCCAGTTGCCACCCACCCTGACGGGGTTGAAAATCTGAAAAAAAAAACTAAAAAAGTCAGTCACTACCTTGAGAACTGGGGCACCAATGCTACTAAGTGAACTGGGGCAGGAAGAAGTCGATCTGCCCTTGAATTTTTAAGTGTGACTGTCTATGATCTTCAACTGCCAGAAAGACACGCAACTTCCAAATGAACAATTCCATTTCCTTGCTCTGTTTTTATATTGCAAATATAAAATGAAGGGCATTCACCTGACATGTCTTAGAAAACACTGCCATTCGGTTTGCATCTTTGGTAACTCAAAACCAGGTGATGCAGTTTCAAAGCGAGGAACCCTGGTATCTGAAGACCACCGAGGTTTCATCACTCAAGGCAGGAGGCTTGTCACTTAGTCTGCATCAGACCCCTCTGCACAGGAGCTGCAGGACGATACTGGCCCGAAGGTCCTTCTGGAGATGTCTAGGACCATCCACCCACCCGCAGTGCTCCGCAACGGGGGAGCTGGTGCTCACAGGCATTTGAGACAGAAAGGGAGTGATGTGGTTCTCAGCGACAGAGTGGAAGGAAGACACAGTCGTCACCCTCAAAGACTGACACTCAAGTGCCGGCCTATCACAGAAGCAGGAGCACCTGGCTCAGAGTGGGGACATCAACACAGGAACGGGAAGATCCCTCGCTCCAAAGGTGAATGTAACCCAGCACCCGAGGTACCGAAGCTGGCCTCGGCTACAGGCAGCTTCTTCCCACATGTGCTTATCAAACTGGAAGAGGATGACAACGAGCAGGCACATCCGAAACAGCGCCTGGCCCTGGAGATGCAAAACAGATCCTGCCTGAGACGCGCCTGCGACAGCAGAGGGAGCCCGAGTGGCGGCTCCACCGTCCTCGAGCATCCTGGTCAGCGGCGAGCTCACCGCGGCTGAAGCCACGCGAGGCCGCGCCACGGCTTCGTTTCTGCCCATCTCAGCTACGAGGGGATGTTTTCAATATTTGAACAGCAGTACCAAGTGGAAAACAGAACTTTTAGGAAGGAAAGATATGATGAGACAAAACTCAAGGTGGCAGGACTTAGTGCTTACTCACACTTTCAGAAATGTAACCTGCAGAGAACATTTAACTTCATTTTTTCAGGGTATTTATTTCACTTACCGCAAGCATTTTCATTAAAAGTTCTTGCTGCTGTTTCACTGCTTGACTTTTAGCGCTCTCGTCATATTCGTACCCATTTTTGGCTAAGTAATCCAGGTGGTTATGAAATATAACTGAACGCCAAAACTGCTCCTACAAACCAGACGGACATGCTCAGAGCCAAACATTACCTAACAGCAGGCAAGTACCAGATATTCACCCCAGGGTTCCAGCCTCTGAATGCTTGCTTTCTTTTTTTTTCTTTTTTTAATCTTTGTCTTTTTGAGGCAGGGTCTCGCTATGCAGCTCAGGCTGCCCTTGAGCTCACTTTGTAGCCCAGGCTGGTCATGAATTTGCATCGATCCTCCTGCCTCAGCCTCCCGAGTGCTGGGATTACAGGTATGTGCCACCACGCCCGGCTCTGAATGTTTTCTAAAATCCTCTTTTCTATAAGTTTAACTTACAATTCAAATTCGAGTGATATCTGGCTTGACTCTATCTTCTATCCTTAAAAAACGGAAGGGGTGTGTGGGGGGCTGTGCATGTGGGGGGTGGGTGGGTGTGTACGTGTGTGTGTGTGTGTGTGTGTGTGTGTGTGTGTGTGTGTAAGACATAGTGCAAGAGTGCTGTAAACAGTTCCTAGCTATCATAATTCACAGAGAACTTGGCAATAGCATTTTGAGATGATTCGTTTCTTATTTAGAGTAACTGATGACCAGGTTTCAAATGACTTTTATGACACAGGGCTAGGACGAGCCCGGCGCTTATGTCACACAGGGTACAAGGTCCTGCAGGAGCCGGGGAGGGCAGCCTCACCTTGGTAAGCCCCGACAGTCCTAACTATTTACCACCTAACCAAGTCCCTGGAAGCAAATGACAGAGTAATAAATACTCGACGTGGGTCACCACGATGACTGTACAATGTCTGTGCCCCAGACTCAGCACCCCCGCAGACTCCCACATACCTCCATCTGCCCCTTCTCCGTTGCAGTCTGACAGTACGGCAGCTTAAAGGGCAACACAGCCACCGCGGGGCGTGGGAGGGTCGGGGGAAACCGAGCGCCCTTACAAGGGATGCACCTGTCAGGGAAAAAAAAATCCCACCATAAAACTTCCAAAACCGCCAAACCAGAACACTTTAAAAGTTAGTAGCAGGAACGGTAATATGACTCCATCAGCTGGCGCAACAGTCTGGAAGAAATTTCTTTTTAGGAAAGCGTGTTCGCCCAGCTAGGTACAGAAACTTTCCCTCCACGCATCTTAAGTATTTCCCAAGTCCCTTCTCATCTCAGCTTTATTAAACAACCGTCACAAGGGGAATCGGCCCTCGTCAGACTTGCCTTGGCAAAATGCCAACCTTCCAAGTACTACGTACACTGAAGAACTGTGCTCTAAACCCCCGCTATGGGGTGGATGTTACCAAGATGCGAAGCTGACACTGCACGTTCACGGCATTCAGTGCCTTGGGTTTGGAAACCCTTGGGACAGACGGTAACAAGACGGGGACACGTCCTGTGATCACTTGGTATGGGGAGAGTGGGACAGAGCGTCCGCTATCAATGAAAAGCTTCTAACCTCAACAGCTCTGCGGAATCAAAGGCGGTCTAAGAGGTACCAGTGCAGACTTGTCTAAATCTTTTCTAACCAGGCTAAGATACTGAAAGATACCCATCGTGAAAAGAACATACGCAATTTAATAGTGTTCACTAATCACAGAAAGATGTGTGTATACACGTATGCACATGCATATACGCGTGTGCGCATACAACACTCAGCTTACATGCTCCAAATGACTTCACAGCAAACCACCGGAAAACCATTAAGCACACACTGTAAAACCATGAACACTTTGCTTGTATTCATAAAGTTACTTTATAAACACAGCATTCCGGTCAAGGCTTCTAACATCTGTCCATTTAATTCATGGTACGGCCTTTTAGTCGGGGCCGAAGCCAAGGCACTCTTGTAGGTAAATAGTAGCAATTAGGCCCCTGGGTTTTCTCATAAACACCTCCTACTATTAAATGCCTCCAGAGCAATTAAAAAGTGCAATGCCAGTAACGCTTCCCAAACTGAAGAGGTTCCCCTTCTAGGAGACGGAAACACCTTTCCTTCTTTTTACGACTGACTGTACAGTAAAAGCACAAACACGCTTTCAGACTCCCAATTTTGTGGGACGTGCAATCCTCTTTCTTTTTTTTTTTTTTTTTTGGTTTTTCTCCGGTACTGGGAACCGAACTCACGACCTTGCACTTGCCAGGCAGGCGCTTTGCCGCTGAGCTAAATCCCCAGCCCCCAATCCTCTTTCTTCTCTCTCCCTTGTCTACCTGATAGAAACCAGTGATGAGCAGGGTCAAGGCGGCAGTGAGAACACCTCACGTGTGCTCTCCTGAAAAAGCACCCGCAGCTCTCAAAGGAGGAGGACAGCAGATGCGTACACAAAGGTAAGTGCAGTCACACGTTACACATACACAAATGAATGCGGACCGCTGATTTTTGTCTAAACAGTCTTTTTTGTATTATATCTTTTCAAAAAAATATTTTATAGTTCAAAAATACTTTATTGATTTAGACATTTTTATAGTTCAAATATACTTTATAGTATTTTATAGTTCAAATATACTTTATTGATTTAGACACAGCAAAGAATTTTTACCAAGAAAAAGGAGATAGTGATATTATTAATACTCACTTTGTTTCTCTGAGGTAGGGTCTCCCTACCTTGTCTAGGCTGGTTTCAAACTCCTGGGCTCAAGTGATCTCTCCTGTCTCAGCCTCCTGAGTAGCTGGGACTACAGTCAAGCATCGCTGCATCAAGCTTTTGTCTTTTAACGGTCACTTTTATTCATTTTTTTTTTTTCTAAACCATGCCGGGAATTGAACCCCGGGCTTCAGGCATGCAGGCCCTGTGCTCTACCACTGAGCCACAGTCCTGCTCCAACGGTCACTTTTTAAGCCACGTTTACATCAAAGCCGAGCGCCAAGTCCTATTTCCTATTGTTTTCTTTGGTTTAAAAACTTGAACTAGTTGGGCACGGTAGTGCACACCTGTAATCCCAGCATTTGGGAGGCTGAGGCAGGAGGACCATAAGTTTGAGCCCAACCCCGGGCAACTCAGTAAGACCCTGTCTCAAAATAAAAAATAAAAGAAGAGCTGGGAATGCAGCTTAGGCAAAGGCTTGGGATTCAATCCACAATCCTCTGTCCCGCTACCTCCAAATCAAAAACATGAACTAAGAAATACTTTTCCTCCACTAAATATCCCTCTCATGGAAGAATCAGTGAAATAAACAAACATTCTTACTGATAATTGGTGGGGTTTTTACCTACCATGAATGAGTTTTCTTGAAACTATGGCCCTAAACCATTTGGAGGAGGAAATGGGAGGAAATAAGCCACAGCTTCTAGGGAGACACAAAGTACTGTGTGTACAGTTTTCCAAACTGATCACAGAATTATTCTCTTATAATATGAAGAGCTGCAAAACTACCAAACGGCGGAAAATGCAGCCAATGTCCAGACGAACCTCCAGTCAGCAAGTTTTGTTCTCTCCCACTGGGCAGGACTCCGATCACAGCACCGTCAGAGCGCTGCTCAGAGTCACAGTAACAAGCAGGCAGCAGGCACGAGCTGTAGCCCACCCGCGGACCACACAGCAGTGTGGTCGGAACTGTAACAAACCCTCGTGAGAGCTACTTTTTCTGTTCACTAAATAAAACCCTTCCGAGTTTTTAAAAACTAAAGAGAAAAGGAACTCTGCTGTTTGCAAAGAGCAAATTAGACTCTAGCACAGCAAAATCAGTACCCTCAGTTATGAATTAACTAGTGATCAGGAAAACATCTTTAGTGGCAAATACAAAGGCAGATTTGCTAAACTAAGTTCAAAGGGGCAGGGACGATACCTCTACAGGTAGGTTCTTATGTTCATAATAGAGGTATTTCGTATTAATGAATGAATTTGCAAAAAGCATTTAAATAAAATGTAACCTTTTCCCTTTTAAAGGATCCCTGAACAAACGAGCATGACTGCTGCTGAATTGGGTTAGAAAAAGTACTTAAAATGAAAAGATCAAAGAAACAGGTGACATTAACCATGAAACCCAAAGTTAAGCATATTAAGAGCAGTAAAAAAACACTATTCTCGTAATAGCTAACGTGCAATTAAGGCGAAGTGCTAAGTTCTGCGACCGGCACACCCTAAACGCACACGAACTCGCTTCCTCTTCACGCTGGTCTGTCCACCCGGCCCCAGTTTGGTTTTAGAGAGGAAAAGAGGCCCAGAGAGTCCAAGCGGCAGAGCCGGGCACAGCAAGCCGGTGAACTAGGACAGGTGAAGTGGAGCGGGCAGTGCAGCGCCACCAGGCACACGGCCCTCTGGACAGCACTTGGCCTGCTGCCTTTCCCACAAGCGCCGACAGCACACAGAAGCATCCAAATCTAACAAGCACAAGGACTGCCCGCTCGCCAGCAGGGACGGGTGAGTCTCAGCAAACACCGCGGAGGCTGCTGCGCTGGCCGGGGTGTTTTCCGCCCTGAGCTTTTACAGGTGGGAAGAAAACACAAGCCAAGCTGCTGTGGAAAGTGCGGCCGGCCCTTCTGAGTAGGGTGCCTTCCGATCTCTGAAAAATACTCACGTTTACTTCCCGGAATAACACCAGGGAGAAAGGTAAACATCCTGAAATAAATCAGCTTAGCACAGCAGACAGATCAATACTTTTGCACGAACACTTCTGAGCATTTCTCAGGGCTTCGTGTCTGCTGTATAGGCTCTCTTCCAGCACACTGCTCCTTACGGAGAAACGTTTATTCCTTCAATGTATTTCTTCATTTAACTCCCACAGGTTCTTCATTTTTTTTTTTTTTTTTTGGTTTTGGTTTTTCTCCGGTACCGGTAACCAAACTCACGACCTTGCGCTTTGCTGCTGAGCTAAATCCCCAGCCCCCGGGTTCTTCATTTTAACACAGAGAACGTAAGTTTTGTGCCTCTAACTAGCTGTGCGACCTCGGACAAGTTACCTAATCTTTCTCATCTGTCGTATGCAGGAACCGAGGGGAAGGGCAGGCAGGAGCGCAGGGCGGCCCGAAGGAGCCGCGGTTACCCTTCCTGTACCCGAGTGCTGCTGAGCAATCGCAAGCGTCCGGGAGCTCGCTTAGGTCCCACGAGCTGCTCACAGACCAGATACCACAAACATTCTCCACTTCATGTACTTAGAATTTTATCATGTATGTAGGTGATACGATTTATATATACAAATTTATATTAAAAATATAAGTTTAGGTCTATAGAAGCTACCGTTCTTACGAATCATCTGCCAACTGATACGCAACAGTTAAATGCTACCAGCTAGTTACTGGGCCTTTTTTGTTTTGTGAGACAAGGTCTCATTATATAACTCAGAGCTGGTACAGGCTGGCCTTGATCTGCTGATATTCCCGCCTCCATTCATTAGGTGATGGACATTTGCACTGCTTCTGCTTTTGAGCTATTAAAAATAAATTTTGAGCTATTAAAAAAAAAAATCACGCATGGCGGCGCACACCTGTAATCCCAGCACTCGGGAGGCTGAGGCAGAAAGATCGCCACAAGTTCAAGCTCAGCCTGGGCTACGCTGTAAGTTCAAGGTCACCCTGCACTACACAGCAAAAACCTGTGTCAAAAACAACGCAATGAAAAGAGCAGCCTGACTCAGCCTGCCAGACCTGACCCCGGAGCTGCAGCCATTCTGCCGGCCCCCGGGCTGCACCTTGCGCAGCACGTACTACTGACGCTGTGGACGCAGGCAAAACGCAGTCACGGGGGTGAAGGGCTCCTGAGGCTCTAACTCCGGCTAACTGCCCTCAGCAGGGCTGCCCGGGCTCACACCCCCTCAGTGCAGCGTGGTGACTACCCCGCCGTCAAGAGCACCCGCAGGCGTCCGTGTCTTTCTAACCTGGAGGCTCTCACGATTCTTTCTGGTTCTGACGAGTCCTTCAGTGGTGCGGTATCCGTCACCTTTTCATACATCCGAGCGCCGTCTGCACCTGCCCCCACAGCGAGCTTCTGTCCTGAGGGAGTCTGTGCCGGCTCCCTTCAGCTGACTCTCCTCTGTCTTCGGTGCGGCCTTGGGGTGGGGCCCAGCTGAGCAGCAGGCTCCCCGTGGCCCAGCTCGCTCCAGCCGGGCAGCCCAGACCACACCCTGCACTTCCACACATCCCCGGCCTCGGACCCTCTGATCCATTCACCATACACACACACACACACACACACACACACACACACACACACACACACACACACGCTGCTCTTTTTGTCATGAGCCACATTCCACTATTCCTCCAGGCAAAGTCCTTAAGTGTTTTCAGAGTAACTTCAACTAACATCCAAACTTCTCTGGCATGGCCTTCCGGATACCCTGAGGACTCAGTTCCCCATTAAAAGGATTCTTGTCCTAAAGCCACACTTACACCTTTGAACCCCTCAAGGACATGAGTTTCCTTCTGACCACAGGGCCTTTGTAGATGCTGTTTACACTGCATGGACCACGTGTCACTCAATTCTTCTATAACTGACTCCCCAGCTTCAAGGCTTCTGTCTGTCTGTCTTTCTGTGGATCAATCTGTCTATATGTGAGGATTGAATCTAAGTCCTCTGCACTGACCTACATCCTCAGCCCATTTTTATTTTGAGGCAGGGTCTTGTTAAGTTTTTAAGTTGTCAGGGCTGGGCTTGAATCTGTGATCCTCTTGCATCAGCCTCCCAGAGTGCTGGGGTTACAGCTGTGTAACCACCATACCCAGCTACAGGGCCGCCTGCTGAGCATGTTCCAGAATCACTCCACCCCACTGTGTCCCTCTGTGAGCCTCCAGCTCGGTCTCATCAGAGTCAGAGAATGTATCCCGAAGAGCAACTGCTACCAGCTCCACAGGAGTCATGGCTCTCCTCTCCCCAACCACCTCCACACCACGCCGACTGACACCCTTTCAGACTACCACGGTACAAGTGTCAAACGAGGAAAACTTTCAACACAACAGTCAAGGGTAAAGTTCTACTAGCGCCCTCCTCTGCTACAGTAACCCTCAGCAGCCCAATTATGTAAACACAAGGTGACCAAGTACGGCATGTACTTCATTAATTTTGTAAGATAATGTAACAGGAAATATAAAACGGCAATTTTATCAAATCTATTCCATACAAGAACTGACTGGCTGAAATGACACCTGCCCGAGTGACGCTCAGGGCGGAAACAAACGTGCTGCCCAGTGACACTCAGGGCACACTGCTAGGGGGTTGAGCAAAAATAAAAAAAGGTCAAAAAGCAGTGGATTTATACACATTCAACTCTAAATCATACTTGGAAATAAAAGACTTTTTAACTAGAACTCCTCCCCCTACCTGGCTGCCAGGGTGCTAAAGTCACGTGGATAAACACAGTTTCTGTTTTGTGCAAACAGAGCTTTTGTAAACAAGGAGGGGAAGAGGGGCTGTAGGGAGGGCAGAGGAGGGGGGAAAATCAAGTTATATCATGTACAGGTGCACATTCCCTGCCATGAATGTGGTCATTATGTGTATCTAAAATGTACCAATAAACTGAATTCATTAAAAAAACTTCTATTTTGGGCCGGGGATGTAGCTCAGTGGCATAAGCACTTGCTTGGCAAGCCTGAGGTCATGAGTTCAATTCCCAGTACCAAAAAACCCCAAAAACTTCTATTTTGTTCAGTAAGTTTCAGGTAGAGCAGCTAGCTGAAAACTTTAAAGCAAATGCGGACATTCTGCACGTAGTGATTACGAAAGCAAGGCCCCTACTCGGCTCACTCAGGCCCCGACAAGGCAAAGCAAAGCACCTTTCCAGACACGGTCAACTTTACCCAGTTCGTGCCCACGCACCTGAGCTGCTGGGGGTTTTCGTGGACGCCCACCACCCAGTAGTGGTCGGACTTTCCCTTGCAGTGCTCTCGGGTGTCGCACACGGGCGTCCACGTGTTGCCCAGCCCCCTGTTAAGCAGCCGAACACAGCCTGCAGAGTCCACGTAGCAGGGGGTACCTAGAGAACAACAAAGGAAATCACTCAGAGAAACGGCCCTTCCTCAACCTTACACGCCCAGGCTCAACTTTCATCACAGAAGCAAAAAAAAACAAAACAAAAGGCCAGCCATCCAAGACTGCTTTCTGTAAAGCTTTACCAACGGCAGCGAGTAAGGACAAAGGGGAGAAACAACTGTCCATGGCACAGCTTGCCCAACGAAAACGCAGCTCAGTGACGCCGTGCCACCTGCTGGAGTGTGACCACCATTTTTAAGCCCATTTCAAGAACAAAGTGTGCGTGAAGGCGCCTCTTAGGAAGCTTGATGAAATGCCAGCTGACACAAGGCAGTGATATAAAGAAAAGCGCCGTGATTACTCCGCTGTCTCCCTTTTCGTGGATGACCTGTCACTCTTCCGTCCCTGACGCCCCGGGGAAGACTCTCGGGACACAGCGAGTACCACCGTCTGCACCGGCAGGCCGGCTGTTCCCGCTCTCTGATCTGAGGCTGCACACCCTTCTCACTCCCAAACATCGGCTTCCCAGGGACGGCATCTGACTGGCTCAAGGGCAAGGACAGCTACATAAATGGAAGCTATTCTTATGCGAGCATAAACGATGCTATCCTAATAGGAAGCCACGCCAGAAATGGTCAGTGCTTCCCAGACGAACAGGTTCATGAAGGACACCAACGAGGGGATTCAGAAAATTCTCAAGCCCCTGAGGGAGGGCTAGCGAGGCTCTACAGCAGTGTCTTCCGCCCTGTCCGGCACGTCGTGTCCCCAGCCTCCATACATGGGGCTAGCGCTGTCCGACAGGAACACTGCAGGAGCGAGCCACAGATGTAGTTTTTCACTCACAGTACTACTTTAACAAAAAGAAAACTGGATTTTTACTGTGCAATCCATTTAACCCAGTATATCGAAAACATTATGTTTAAGAATTGAGATTCTTTAACTATTCCTCTTCTCATACTAGCCTTCGAAATGCAGAGTATTTTACTCTCACGTCTTAATTCCGACTGGTCACACTTCAAGTGCTCAACAGCTACCTGTGGCTACGAGACAATATAGTTATGAAAAATTCCTACTCTGTGCAAAATCTGCTGGAAAAGACAGAACTTTACCATCAACTTATCTCTCTGCTATCTATCCAGTAAATGTATATAAGAAAAGCACAGCTCCCTCTTTACAAGTTTTCCCATCAAAATTCTTCTTTCTGGTACCAGGAATCGAACTTACAACCTCGCTCTTGCCAGGCAGGCGCTGTGCTGCTGAACTTCAATCAAAATTCTTAAGAGCTCTTGTACATAAAAACAGTGGCTACTTTGCTTACCAACCAGTTTCCAGTACTGCCAACACTAAAATACAGAATTTAAATGTAAAATACAGGCACTTTATCTTTAAAGAAACTAGGAACAGAACAGTGAAGTGATTTTTTTCTTAAAAGAAATCAACCAATCTTGCCTTCAGCCGAGAACCCGAGCCAGGTCAGGCGGGCTCCCCTTGAGAGAGGAAGAGGGTCTCCGCGCAGAATCTGCCTCTTCTTCTGCCCCAGCTCTAACAGCTGCATGCCAAGACACTGGTCTCCATCAAATCCTGTACCTAGAAAAGGGAACGTGAGGCAGGCATGCAAGGTCACTAAGGGATACTGCCATCCGCACTGTTTTCTGAACCACTGTGTGGTAACGTCTTCCACGAACTGGCACGGTTTCCAAGGGTAAGCCAGAGGCACCGTGCAGGGATCAGAGGCAGAATAGCATGTTACACGGACTGGTTATACGTAGACTGATTTTAAGTGATCGTTGCTCACTCAGGAAAGATTTAGAGAGCTTCCTAGGCACGGGCACTGTTCTAGGCAAAGGGGCCATAGGGATAAGTGTTTGCAGGAAATTCATGGATGGGAAGAAGGCAGACAAATCAAAAAAACAGAAACAGGCCCCCTCCGGAAAAAAGCTACCACAGAGTTAAATGAGCAATGTGGTACAGAGTGCCAGACGGAAGGGTTACTTCAGACCAGCAGTCGGGGTGGGCATTAGGAGAACAGAAAACTTGAGCCGAGATAGGAACTGCAATGAGGCTGAGCAAAGCAAGTACGAGGGGGAGGAAGACCACAGCAGGCGAAGAGGAAGCCTGAGGCAGGGCAGCAGACAGGGACACGCGGGCACCCAAGAACACGGATGTCCGGCAGGGCCAGAAAACGGTCATGCAGGAAAGCAGCAGCTGGGGCGGAGGAGGCTGACTGCGCTGAGTGTAATACCGGAAGGGAAGGGAGGTCGGCGGAGCTGAGCAGCAGAGGGCGACGACGTGATTTACGCTTTGGAAAGAAGAATACGCTGTGAAAGGCACGAACCGAGTGGAAAGGCCAGCAGAGGGTACAACGGTGCAAACACCGCCACGCAGGTGGGACTGGGGAGTAGGTGGCAGAAAGAGACAGACCTAGCATGTACCTGAGCCTGGGATGCCTTTTCAGACTCTACCTAAAGGTTTCACGTGAGCAACTGCCTGTGTGAGTCTGACACAAAAGGGAGGCCCGAGGACGTCGATCTCCAAGTCACGGACATGGGGATAGTTCCAAGGCCATGGTTTGCGATAAACTCCCCTGAGCAGCTTCTCAAACTTGGGCCTGTGAGATACAGTATCAATTCAGAGTATTAAAAGATGAAATTAAAGAGTAAGTATTGTCCCAGGGACTCTTCCTCTGTTACACCTTGGATAAATACAGAGCGGCACTACAGGAGCTGTTTCTCACTGTGGCTAAGCTGTGGAAGCAGTGAAACATCCTGACCCTGACGGCACCGGACAAGGAGGGCCAATTCCAACGAAACGTCAGGGCTGAAGGACGACCCAGCAGAAGAAGTGAAAAAGGAGTTGCCGGTGAGGAAAAACTTTGGAGATGAACGGCACAGAACCCAAGAGAACATAAAGTATATCCTAGGGAAATGTAAAGAAGAAGAAAAACAAAAAAAGCAGTGGAGCTTCCACAACCTTGACAAGACTAGGTTGAGCATAGACAGAGAAGGGGATGAGAAAAAAGCAGCAGCTTCTGAAAAGCCACACGCAAGGTTGTTGGCCCTTCTCCTGGGGGCTCACTCACTTCTGAGGAATAAGCTCGGACAGTCCTTCGATGTCCTCGCTGAAAGACAAGACTCAGGGCGGGAAGCAATGACCCAGACTCCACCTCGGAGTCCCTCTACAACCCAGACCTTCTGTAAGCAGGTTACCCCCATGGGCACTGCTATCGGTAAATACAACGAAACCTCTACGTTCGGAGATCACACTGACACAAACGCTACATAAATGCAAAAGGAGGCAGACGTATACAGTTCAAAACAAAAAGAGCAGCGACAAGTCATTTCCATTTTACTTTAAGTCATGGCGAACAGTCGGACTGGGGAGAGCCTACCTCTGTGGTAAACAATGAGAAGCTGCTCTCCGTGCCCTGCCAGGGACACCACGGGCCCCGGGAGGCTGAAGACCTCCTTCTGAACACCCCCAACGGTGAACAATCGCAGGAGCAAGGCGCTGGTGGCGGCGGCCGCCCAGCCCTGACCGAGGCAGACGGCTTCGACGTCCTCGTGCGGAGGCATGTCCACCATCCACTCTTTGCTGGAGTCCCAGGAGCTGAAGTGCAGGCAGTGGAGCTTGCTGCGAGAGAAGACAGAAACGTTCCAACTCTCACACGAGGTATTTTTATATCCATAAAAGCTGGTCGTGATACCGCTAACAAAGCCAAACAGTGTGTTTTCCTGTTACACACTACTCGTTCAACTGCTTTAGGAAAGTGCTTATAAAATATCCTTAAAGGGAACTCATTAAAACCATTAAGCATGTTTGTGAAGGATATGTAGTGATCAAGGAAAATGCTCACAACAGAATAGTAAGCAAAAAAGGGCAGGCTAAAGACTGCTAAGTGTGATTCTAACTGTGAATGCACACAGAACCACAACTGCGATTTCTAGAAGACAGGAAGCACCAAGATGTTAAGCAACAGCTCCTGCACAGAAAAGTTAACAGGGAAGAACGAAAGAGAAAAATCATACACAACACCATCGGCAAGACTGCCAACCACTGTTCAGAACCGGGGCTTTAGCCAGGCATGGTGGCACATCCCTGTAATCCCAGCACTCGGGAGGCTGAGGCAGGAGGATCATTGCAAGTTTGAGACCAGCCTGGGCTACAAAGTGAGCTCAAGGCCAGCCTGAACTGCAGAGCAAGGCCCTGTCTCAAAAAAGACAAAAAAAAAAAAGAAAGAATTGGGGCTTTCTAGCTTTTCTCCTTCATGCACACACAGAAAAATGCAAGTTCTCACTAAACACAAACTCCCTGAGCTTCAGAATGCACATTCCCTAGGTATTTGGAATCAGAGACAGCAGTAATTTTCTGAACAGTAATTTTTTAAGGTCGTATTTTATAGGGCTGTTAAATACCTATGGAAAAGAAGATTTCTACTATCAAAACTGGACCTGGAAATATATTCTAATCATGCGAGACATTCTGAGTTGGAGACACTGGGTCAACAGTTATTGATGGGCTGGCTGACTGACTATTCATGGTGCTGGTGACCGAAAGCAGGGCTTTGTACAGGCAAGCACTTTGCCCCCACACTACGTCCCCAGTTCACTTTAATAAACTGAGTCAACTCGATAATGAATGAAGTACTGAGATAATGCATAAATTAAGAAAACAATTAAATGTTAAAATGACCCAGTACAGTGTTTTTCAGACTTGAACACACACTAGTCCCTGAGGAGCTTCAGATTCTGGCCTTGAACTCACTGTGTTCCTCCTGCCTCAGCCTCCTGCGTGCTGAGATTACAGGCATGTGCCTCCATGCCAGGCTCAATAGTGAGTTGGAAACCAGCCTGAAATGAATAGAAAGACCCTGTCTCAAAAAACCAAAAATAAATAAATAAATAAAAAATAAAAATCACTTTGCTGGGCATAGCGATGGATGCATGTAGTCCCAGCACTTGGGAGGCTGAGGCAGGAGGATTTCCATGATTTCAAGGCCAACGTGAACTATATAGCAAGACCTTGTCTCAAAAAACACAAAAATAAAAAGAATTAAAAAAAAAAAGAAATTCCATATGGAAAGATACCTAGAAGGACACACATCAAAGTGTTTATATCTGAGAGTAGAATTTGAGAATGAACTTTCATTTTCCAGAAATTCTATCCTTAGCAATCAATGTGTATTATTCTTTAATAGTAGTAACACTGATAATGTAAAAAATAATCCCATCACCTGTGCATTATAAGTTACACACACGTATCATTTTCATATGCAGTTAAGAGAAGGTAAAGAGGGACAATCAGGGCGGGAACGAACATTTTATTTTATTAACTTCTGCTGCTAATTCAACAATTCTATCTAGTATTCAACCGTGTCCAATTCTTCTTAATAACCCTCAACTTACCTTGCGAGGTCATCGCTGCTCTCACACGCCAACAAAACAGCTTCGTGGGAAAGATCCGCTACCGTGTAATTGAAGGTGTTTGACAGGTGTGTCGTGTGGTGTATGGAGGTGTCGTGGAACTCCACATCTATAGCGTTGTCTTGCTCATCATTGTAGCAGCGGATAATTCCAACAGAGTTCCACACCTGCAAATATGGAAGAAACACAAGTCTGAGAAAAACACAACTTCCTAAAATCAGTAGGCTAGAGTTGTACAAACAACGAGACTGTAATTCAAACTGTATCGAGGTTTAAATTAGGGAAGTTACCATAACTCAGGTAACCCTAAATATTTTAAGATAGCAGGAGCAGTTTCAGACCTAAGGTATACACATGCTTATTTATTAGCAACTGAAGTGTTTAGTATTTAGAAATAAACTACGTGACTGTCATTTAAAAAGTACTTTATAATTAACTTCTGAATAACCAGGGAGCTAGGGATCTAGCTCAGCTGCACAAGCGCCTGCCTGGCAAGTGCAAGGTCCTGAGTTCTATTCCCAGCATCAAAAAAAAAAAAGACAAAAAACCAAACCATTAAATTCCTCAAAAGAAACATTCTAAAATTTTATATGTAATATGGATACAAATAGCATCAGATATTTTCTATTCCAACTAGTTTACATTTTAGGATAAATACATATATTTTAAAGCAGCACAGACTGATACCATTTGCAAAACTACCTTCTGCTGATGTACACTATAGGTTCACACTTGATCCGAGGGTTTCCAGTAAAATTAGGGGTTGACATTTTATTTGTAGTTACATAGTAATATTAACTATAAGATATACAATAAAAACTAATATATACTAACATGTTAATAAAAATAACTATTAATAATATTAGTAATAAATACTAATAAAAATTAATACATATTACTTGATAGTAACTGATGGCAATAGTTTTATTAATACTGAACACACCCTTAGTATATATGCCAGGTCCAGTTTTTTCAAAAAAGACAACAGGCAAATCCTGAGAACAGAAAACCTCAAAAACCAACAAATAGAAATATTAAACTTTTAAAGCTCTCAAATCTGAGGCAGGTAGCTGAACACTGATCCAAGAAATATGTATTTAATACTTTTAATGCCATATCTTGTTCTAAATGCCAAGCTATCATCTTAGAAAGCAAAACAAAGGACAGGAGACACAGCCCAGCGGCAGAGCAATTGCCTAAAATGCACGAGGCCCTGGGTTTGACTCCCAGCACCACACAAACAAACCCAGAAAACTCTCTCCCTTGACAGGACCCATTCACAGGTGGCCTGAAGGACAATTTTTCCAGCCACAGTACTTACCTCTCTCCTTCTAAAACACTACACAAGGAGCTGCCTGCTAAAAAGTATCTTCTAACTAGTGTTCTGGAATCATTGTAATGTTGTATATAAATACAAATTTCCTACTCTGAGAAGTAAGGTTGGAAGTACGGCCACAAGAGTCATTTACTTAGGTTCATTATACCATGTTTCCTAGCAGAATTTTATTTAACTGATTTTCAATCACAATATTGAAGTGAGATTAAAATTATGAGTTAAACCAATGATAAAATTACAATGAAACACAACGGTGTGGCCCATTTCATCAGAGTTTTTAAAAACACTGTTGATCCAATGAGATAGAACACAGCGAGGAAAGTGCTGGCCAGCGACACCAACAGGGAAACGCGGGCCCCGGACACACCATGAACCTGTGAGTGAGGTGCGCGGGCGTGGACCCCGACTGGAACGGCCTCTGCCGGGGAGTCGGCCTGGGCCCGTCCCACAGCGGCCTCTGGGACGTCACTGGTGGCAGATCCTGCAAGCTGCCCGCGAGGTCCTCCTCCTCCTCCTTGAGAAGAGCAGATTTCAGCACTGTACCATCTGTAACACCAAGAGCCACGAGAGAACTATAAACACAGGTGGCCAGGGCAAAGAAATGCGCTCACAGACTCTGACGAGCCCTCCACCGTCCTGTGACAGGGACAGCGACGTGCTCCTCCCCCTGCGGCCCCGCCAGCGAGAGGAAGGATGCCGGGAGGCACTGTGGGTACAGCTGCGGGGCTCAAAGTGGACCACGGCGGCAGCCCCGGCCGGACCCACAGCCACTGCGCCCCGAGCGCCAGCCACGTCGCTGCAGACACTGCAGTCAGCACCGACCCTCGCACAGGCTGAGTGGCAAGCTGAAAACGAGAACTGCGAGTACAAGAAGGCGGGCGTCTGTGAAAAGGGCTCAGGCGCTGTGTGCGCCGTGAGCGGGGCTGACGTGCTCACCCCGTCCCCGCTGACTTGGGCTTGCGCACTTGGGACACGTGGCAACTACTTCCTCGGCTCAAATGCAGTGAGCCCGTCCCTTAATGACGGAGACGATCTGCTGCCAACGATAAAATCTGAGCTTCCGAGCAAAAATGTGCACCCTGGGAAACTTGTATTTGCTCTCAGGAGCCTGACAACAACCGAACACTGAAAAACTTGAGATTAGTGATGATCCTTTAGACAGGGAAGTGAAATGGGGGAACGTGAGGAAGGCTGTAAACCTCGGCGAACCATTATTTTCCAAATGACCACTGCACGGTAAAAATCGAGGAAGAAATAAAACCCATTCCGAGTTCAAATCACACCAAGGGCTTTCAATGTAATAGAAAAGGTTCACTGGCGTTTCAGATTCCCCAAGTACAACAGTCTTTAAGAAACTGCCAACAGGGCTGGGGATGTAGCTCAGTGGCACAAGCGCCTGCATGGCAAGCGCACGGTCCTGAGTTCGATTCCTAGTGACAAAAAAACAAAGAAACTGCCATTCACCAGGCATGGGAGCACACATCTATATCATCAGCTAGCTACTCAGAGGCTGAGGCAGGAAGATCACAAATAGGAAGCTAGCCTGGGCAACTCAGCAATACTCTGTCTCAAAATAAAAAGGGCTGAGGATGTAGCTCAGTGGTAGAGCATTTGCCTACCATGGGCAAGCCCCCAGGGACCCCCAGAGTGTGTGTGTGTGTGTGTGTGTGTGTGTGTGTGTGCCTGTGTGTGTGTGTGTGTGTGTGAGAGAGAGAGAGAGAGAAAGAGAGAGAGAAGGAGAGGGAGAGAGAGAGAGAAAAGGAGAGAGAGAGGCAAGCAGGCAGACAGAGAGAGACAGGCACCGACCGAGAAACCGAAAGACAGAGACAGGCAGGCAGACGGACAGACCAGAGGGGTGAGGGGACAGAAGAAGGAGGGGAGAAAGGAAAGGAAGGGAAAGAGGGAGGGGACACGGGGAAAGGAAAGCAGGAAGGGAGCAGGGAGGGAGATAGCCACGCGCTCAGCTTTGGTGAAGGAGCAGAGTCCCCGTAACTCTCAGAGCAGGCTCTCTACACACTTCCCTCGCAAACCTCACATCAGCGTGAGGTCAAATTTCCTGCATACACTTCAAGCAAAGCTCATGGACGGCAACAGCTTTACTCCAGAAAATGGGAACCCTGGGGTGTCCCATGGCAGCATCACAAAGACTGCAACGCCACTCTTCTCACTGCTTTTTGTTTTCTGTTAAAACACACTCAGTTTTACATGAGGTTCTAAAGTAATTTTTAATTATTTAAAAAATCTCTCCATTTTGATTTCTAATATAGTAAATAAAAACAGATGTTACCACTCCACAAAAACAAATGTTCTTTGGAGGCCCTCAGGATGTTTTTAGAGTACAGGGCTCCTAAAACCAAAATATTTGCAGACTTCTAGACTCAGTATGTGATTTCAATGCAGGATGAACTCAGTATGTAGCCCAGGCTGGCCTTGAACTCAGGGTGATCCTCCTGCCTCAGCCTCCTGAGAGCTGGGATTACAGGTATGTGCCACTATCCCTGGCTTGAATTTTCTTTTCTAACATCTTTTTTACAATGACATTTTATCTGGTAATGGAGAAAGGTGTTATTTTTGCATTTAAATTGTTACAATAGGTCCTTTATTTTACAGTTTCAAATTCTAATCTCACTTTCTTTAACAGACACATTATTCAGCTATGCATCTGTTTTTGAATTAGCTTGGCAATCTGCATCCTTGAAAAGGTTTGTCCATCTCATCTACGTTGTTGATTCTATGGGGACAAACTTGCTCCTGTTTCCTCTTATCCTTCTGGTATCAGCAGTACAGCCTCTCACAGGAGTGTAACACACGTAAACTTTCTAGTAGCCACATTTAAAGTTAAAAATAAATTGCTGCATTTCTAGTGTTATCTTTTCAACACGGACTCAATATAAAAAAAACTATGCCAGGGATATAGCTCAGTGGCATAAGTGCCTGCCTGGCAAGCACAAGGTCCTGAGTTCGATACCAGGAAAAAAAAAAAAAAAAAAGATAGAAAAAAAAAATAGAAATTCAATATAAAAAGCTGACTAGGATGTTTTACATTCTTTTTTTCATACTACCTTCAAAATCTTTTTTGATTGCACTTTACACTTAAAACACATTTCAATGTGAGCTAATACCGCCGAAGTGCTCCCTGTCGTGTGTGGCTAGCGGCTGCCATACTGGACAGCGCACATCCACACCATCAGTAGTGACAGCCTCGCTTCGTTCCTCGTATTAATAACTGCTGTCTTCTCTTTCTTTATCAGTCATGACAGAGATTTATCCATTCCATTGATCTTTTCAAGGAAGGAGCTTTTGGTTTCAATGATTTTATAGTTTTTCTTTGGTCAATTTTACTGAATTTTGCTCTTTTGTTATTTCCTTCTTTGTTTGGAGTTCAATTTCTTTTTCTATTTTGGTAAAGCAGAGAGCTTATCCAATATTCAACTTACTTTTTTTTGAGACAGGGTCGTGCTACATAGTTCAGGCTTGCCTTGAACTCATGGTGATCCCCCTGCCTCAGCCTCCTGAGTGCTGGAGTTACAGGTGTGTGCCACTAGCCCTGGCTCCAAACTTTCTTTTTGAACATAACGACTGAATGTTATTAACTTCCCCTGGTATACCTTTAGCCACGTTCTACAAAGGGAATGACTTCAACAGTTTCAATAAAAAATTAAAAATATTAATCAACAAGGTAGATTACCACATGCACAAGGCCAAATTCATACCTACTGAATTTTCATCATCTTCCAAGAAGTGACCTCGCTGTCTAGGACGACTTGAGGCCACCATCAGGTCATCATCGTCTTCGTCGTTTACAGTCCCTTTCGGAAAAGAAGAGACCTCAACTGCGCTGTCCTCTAGAAAGCCATCCGTATCACTGGTATCATCGCCGTCAAAAAGATCACCGTACTCCTTTTCCACTCTGCTAGAAACCTTGAATAAAAAATCAGTACCGGAGAAAAACCAAAAAAAAAAATAACAAAACTTAGAAAGTATTAAGTTTCCTGGAGAAACTCAATTACTCAAAAAGCAATGCTTTTCTAACTGCTGAGGGACGGGACTCCGACCCAGGGCCTCATGCACGGAAGGGGCGCGGTCTACCACTTCCGACATCCTTAGCCCCAAAGCCCACCTTTCAACATGCATTTATAAATTCTGTCAAACAGGCAAACGCCTGGGAGAGAAGACAATGACAACTGTATTCATGAAGATATTTACATTTATGGACTAAGACCCAATCCCGTCCTTATTTTAAATGCCTTGTGGTCCCTGGCCAGACATGGAGCGAATTGACAGGATACACCAAAATATAAGCCAGGCGTTTATTCCTCAAAAGTTGTTCTCCAGCACAGACGTTACCTTGACACTAACAAGTCAGTATGAAGTCTCTTACTTTTTTTACTTGGCATGAGACACTACTTAGGTAAGTAAGATACATTTGCTCCATGCAATCTTAGTCAAAGCTACAGGTTTTCTGGGGCTGGGGATTTAGCTCAGCGGCAAAAGCGCCTGCCTGGCAAGCGCAAGGTCGTGAGTTCGGTTCCCGGTACCGGAGAAAAACCAAAAAAAAAAAAAGCTACAGGTTTTCTGAACAGAGAAACAAGGTGGTAGCACCAATAGAAAAACAAGAGGGCACGGAAACAGAACACATATTTAATCATCGCTTGTTAGGAATGTGAACACAACCACTGCAGGAGGTGGGTGTTCCTGCACACACGTTTTTAGTGAGTAAGCAGACCCAGGGCAGGGATTACACCGGACTCCCGCAGGACGGCCCAAACTGCACACGGTGTGCCGGGGGAGTTACAGGCCGTGATACAAAATCCTAACGCAAACACCAGCAATGGATTAAAAGGATTTCTGTCGCAAACGTTTGAAGTGGAAGTAAACATAACTACATTTTGGAAAATTAATGTTTAATAAAATGGTACTAGAGAAAAGTTCTTCTAAATTCATCTAAACGTACAACTTGATGGATAATTTAACATACTAAACGCTGTAAGGTAATTTCACCATTCCAGCTATAGGTCTGTGGACAAAAGTCGGCCAAAAACTTTTGTGGGATCTTCTTGTTGGAAAATAGGGGTTCTACTGTATATTTATAGTGAAAGCAGAAATAAATACTGTAGAGAATAAAGTCAAAAGGACACGGGGTTAACAATTTCAGAAGAGGAGACCCTTGAACTATGTAATTTTAACTTAATCTACTTTTGTTTTCATCAGTGTTATGCTTATGGATCAGTTTTGCAGTTTATTATAAAAAAAAGAATCCGTCTGCACAGCCCCCGATTTTTCAAGCTGCTCTGTTTCTTGGCTACATACTTTAGGACAGTCTTCGTTCCTGACCACAGCCTGTGTGGAGGGTCCTATCAGCTTCCTTCTGTGGACGACGGGAGATCCAGCACCCTTTTCCACCCCACTGCTCTCCACCCGTCCTCCCCACAGCAGTACATCCTCAGTCCAGTTCAGTCGACAGAGACCACTTAGGTGATTAAATCCTGTGAATACTGTTCATGGCTGAACACAAACCCTAACAGCCAGGATTTACTGAGCGCGCTGGACGTCTTCTCACATGCAACTCATTTAATCTGCGCAGTGCGCTACCGGCGGGCGCTATCCCTCCTCATCTCACACATGTGCTATGTGGTCGCTTTTCCTTTCCTCCACAACTTTTTGTTTTCCCTGAGGTAAGAATCGCTTCTCTCTCTTAGTCTTTTCTCTGGATGGATTCCTAAGGAGGATTCTTCCGGTCACCGGTCTGGAAAGTGTGCACCTGGCTGGCAAAGTTCTGGAACCCAAGCCCCAGTGACCTGGGACTCTCTACACTGCGGTCTCTGCTGTGTCTTTTCATCCTGTTTCCAGGCTTCCCTGCCTGCCTCACTCGGTGCCACGCAGCTGTGATCAGCAGCCTGCACCGAAGCCCGTCTCCGTCTCACCTTTGTCGGAGGGCAAATCGCTGACACTGAGTCAGAGTGCGGCCTGGGCTGGGGCAGGCGTGGCCCACGTGTGCAGATGGACAGACACTGCAGGGACCTATCTGCTCACGAAATCAACCCCGCTGTTGTTGGCTTCCCTTTTACCTAATGCTACCAGGTTCTGAACGTGAGGGATCCGTCAGGCAGACTGAGTTGTACCTCGGCTCCCCCAATTGAGGTCTCAGGATCCAGTTTTCTGAGAAGCTCGTTGCCACCCATCCAGTCTTCAAAGCCTCCAAAATTCTATGCCTGTCTTGCTTCAACTGTCATCATTAACCTTAATGATGAGTATTCATTTGAACTTTTTTTTAATGGATAGGGGTTTCATGGCTTAATGGGGTTTCAGGAAGAAAATAAAATGCACATAGTGTGCAATCCTTAACAGGGAGGCAGAAGTACAACTTGCAATAGGAAAAGGAACACACAGCAGACAGCAGGAGTGATGAACAGAAGCAAGGACATACAAAACAGGGAGACTTACCGACACGACGGGGGCAAAGCCCTAGGACAAGGGCTGCATGGGGTGCTCTTCAGAGTGAAGGCCAATTCAGAGCAGAAACTGTATAGACCAAACTGCTATCTGCTACAGGGGCTAACTCATAAATTGTAGCCGTAAAACATTTACCGTAAAACATTTACTTCAAAATACCAGGTTCCAAAAAAACCCCAGGATGCTAAAACAGAACTCTACAGAGGACATCCCTTGGAAAGGTATTCCAAAGCCGGGCGTGGTGGTGCACTCCCGTAATCCCAGCGCCTGGGAGGCTGAAGCAGGAGGATCATTGTGAGTTCAAGACCAGCCTGGGCTACAAAGTGAGCTCAAGGCCAGCCTAAACTGCAGAGAGACCCTGTCTCAAAAAAAAAAAAAAAAAAAAGACCAAAAAAAAGGAAAGGTATTCTATGGAGGAAGCATTTCTTAGTAAAGCACATTTACTAGGGAAAAAAAATAAGTTGAACAAGCTTAAAAGTAGTTTCCTTTATTTCTGATTATTACTGAGCATCTAATTTTGAATTAGACATCATTTTTAGAATCAAATATCATTTCTTACTTTTGAGGCAGGATCTCACTATGTAGTTCAGGATGGCCTTGAACTATGTAGCCCAGGCTGGCCTCGAACTTACGGTAATCCTCCTGCCTCTCCTGAGTGCTGGGATTACAGGCATGTGCCCCCCAACACACACAGCCTGAATTGTACTTTTGTATGAAGGTCAGGTACCCTATGATGTTTTCCAAAACTGCACAAAGAAGCGCCGTGAAGTGACTGCCCCACCACACCGCTCATTACCTTGCTGCTGGACGCCTTGTCGCTGAGCTCACACACATTCTCCAGGAGCCCTAGGTTGCCCTCTGCGTCAGTGTAAGATATGCGACCACAGGTAGGATGCCAGGCAAGGCCACAGATTGCATAACCTTTCTCATGTTTCACCCTAAAATTTAAAAAGTGGGCTCTGAGCACACTATCAAGAAGAACATCAACTGTACATACCTTTGAGTAAGTTTTAGTTAGGAAAGTTAAGCAACTGCTGACACTAAGAGCTATATATTTTCCTTTTTTTGTCTTTTTGAGACAGGGTCTCATTGTGCAGTTCAGCCTGGCCTTGAACTCACTTTGTAGCCCAGGCTGGCCTCGAACTCGCAGCGATCCTCGTGCCTCAGCCTCCCAAGTGTTGGGATTACAGGCGTGCGCCACCACACCTGGCTATGATTAATAACTGAAACTTTGAAGTGCTTCCTAATAAAACAAAACAAAAAGACTAATAGAACTAAGTGAAGAAGAACAAAAGACACACTAAAGCATACCTTTCCATGCAGCCCTTGGTTTCCACATTCCAAACTATAATTAGGCCGTTAATACTTCCTGCAGCTAAATAGCGCCCGCAGGGAGACCAGGTTACTACATTGAGGCTCTGTAAAGAAAATCAGTAACAATTCTGTGTAACCTGAATACTCATTTCATTACCAAACTCAAAGTTCTACATCCTGGTTCTACATTATTTATTTGAAAAAGGAATAATAAGACAAGGGTTTTTGTTATTGAGACAAAGTCTTGCTATACAGTCCAGGCTGACCTAGAACTCAGTTTGCTCATTTTTTTAAACTTTCTTTTTCAATAATACTCATCCAACATTAGCAGCTATCACTCTGTTTACCATGAAAAAATAAGAGCAGCACAATTTTAAAAGTAAAATGCAAAAGCTATCGCTATCACAGAAAGAGACAGGGCAAGGTGGCCTCTTCTGACACGAGGCAAAGCAGTGAGTAAAGTGAGCCCGGTGAGCTGCTGCTGACCTAAGGGGCTGTGTCTCCCGATTATAAAATAAATAACGTACACCAGGAAAGCGACAGAGTGAGAACAGAGATCGATGACCCTTCTTGCTCTAAATTTCAGAGACAGAGGAAGCGGGGCCGGGGATATAGCTCAGCGGCATAAGCGCCAGCCTGGCAAGCACAAGGTCCTGAGTTCGATTCCCAGTACCAAAAGAGGGAGAGAGGTAGAGAGGGAGAGAGGGAGGGAGAGAGGGAGGGAAGAAAGCAGTAGAGAAACAGACTAACAATCTTTCTTGTTCTAAAATTTCAGACACTATAAGCCAGCTCTAAGTGAAACTCAGTAAAGCCCATTACCAGTTCTTATGAAGGAGAAAGGCCACATGGGTCCCACAGGTATCAGGTATCCAGCTGGTGCTGAGATACTCGCGCCAGGAGCACACGGGAGACACCCGCCCGCCTCCCAGTCTGCCGCTGCCCGCGGCGTCCACTCACACCTGACCCCGATGGTGCTGGAAGGAGGAAGCACGAACGACTCCCTGGGGCCCGCTGCATGCACAGAAACCTACCTGCGAGATGGCGCTATCCGAGAGATCGAGCTGATGAGTCCAGGTTTCTCTCCTGTAGAGCTTCACAGATTTGTCCACAGGAACGGCCAGTAGCTATCAGGGAAGAGAAGATTTAAACAAAACGGACATTACGTCCAAGAAGGAGAGGAAAGAAGGCAGCAAATTCATCCAGATGAATTTACAAAACAGAAGAACAAACCTGTACGTGCTGAACTGACACAACTCAGCAATTACTTAAGGTTCTGATAAGCAAAAAAACGAAACCAAAAAATGGTGATGATCAATCTACTGCTTGTACCGGAAAGCAGAGAATAGCAGTTATTCATATTTTTAATAGGGTTTCTTTTTTTTTCCTCCAATCAGATTTTATTGGTATACTTTAGATGTACATAATGATCACATTCATCATAGAGAATTCGTATTTGTACATGATATAACTTGTTTCTTTTTTTCCCATTTCCCCCACCTTCCCTTCAACCCCTCCTCCCCTCCCCATTTACAAAAGCTTTGCAAAAGCTTTGTTTCCATTTTTCCTTCTTCTAATATAGTTTCTTAAGAAATCTAGGCTCTTTGGATTTAAAAGTTCATCTCATTTGCTAGAAGGAAACAGCCATAATCCTCTTACAGAAAAAAGGAAAAGGAATCTGTCTTCTTACATAGCCTTCAAAAAAACAGATTAGTAGAAAAAAAAAACGTGCAGGGGCACAGTGTATAGCCTGGCAGCAGAGCACAAGGCTTTAATCCTCAGGACAAAAGAAAACTTGTGTATGTTTTCCATGTTTATCCTATACATACATATACATATGTAATTAAAAACTAGGAAAGCCAGGTCAAGTTTAATAATTTTTAAATTCATCAGGTTCATTCATGCTTTCAAAGTAAAGGAAAGAATATACATTGGGTTTTTTTTTTTTTTACTATCATCTCAATGCAGAAAGTATACTCTTCAAAGTCACGACTTAAAAGAGTACATACGCTTTTGCTTTTCCAAAGACAAGGTCTTACTACATAGCCCAGGCTGGCCTCAAAAACTGGCTGCACAACCCATGCTGGTCTTGAACTTGGAAGCCTTCTGCCTCAGCCCGAGTGCTGGGATTATAGGTCCGCGTAACCACACACGGCTTACAGAAGAGTGAAAGTCTCACCCCTGTCCCCAACTCCTACTTCTACTCTTCAAAGGCAAATATAACTATAGAAGACATAGAATGCACACGTACGTATATTTAAATAGATATAAAAACATTTGCATTAATAAACATTTGTATTAATAAACATGTTTATTAATACCCTATATCTACTGTTCCACAGTATGATTTTTTTTACCTAACAATGTACCTTATTACAGCAGCCATTGATATTTTCCTACTAATCTATCCATAACTGTGTAAAGTTTGTAATGTTCCTATCCTATTTCATAAATGGATGTATGTTTATTATTATGTGTTTCCTACAACCACCATTGAGAAGAGTTAATGATTTTTCAGTAGGTCACTCATGTATAGCTCTATTTATTTTCTTTAGAAGCCACTTTGAAGATACCAAAGTATAGTACAACAACTCTTGATAATCTCCTACCTCTTTTGTCTGTAACTCACTATTATTTGTCTATTTGTTTTCCTGAGAAACTATTTTGTAGACAATAATATGTAAAATGATAACCATTGATAATTTCCTACCATTTTGTCTGTAATTTGCTAAGTCCCCCCTATTATTATGTTATCCTTCTTTTATTCTTTAAAATAAAAAAATAAAAATAAAAAAAATAAAAAAAAAACAATGTACCTTAAAGATTATCCCAGATGAGGGCATAGAGATCTGATCCTAACAATTAGAATCTCACTTTCAAGGGGCCAGGGATTTAGCTCAGCAGCACAGCGCCTGCCTGGCAAGTGCGAGGTTGTGAATTCGATTCCCAGTACCAGAAAAATAAATAAATACATACATACATACATAAATAAATAAATAAGTAAAAAAGAATCTCACTTTCAAAGCTACCAGTTCACAGCTGGGCATGCTGGCATTTGCCTATAATCCCAGTACGTAGGAAGCTGAGGCAGGAGGATCACCACAAATTCGAGGCCAGCGTGGGCTACATAATGAGATCCTGTCTCAAAGAAACAACAAACTCAAAACAACAACAAAAAAGACTACCAATTCGCTGCAAATGAGCATTTAGGATGCTCTCGATCTTCTACTACCAAGAGTGGTCCAAGCTTTTGCTCCACGAACTCTGCAGACCATGTACACTCGAACAGAACCATAGGACACCCTGGGTTCAGTCCCCAGCACTGCAAAAGTCAATCAGTAAACAAACGACTGCCACGGGCCTCTTTCTGTACACTGCCTGCACAGGCCTTTTCCCGTCCTTTCACTGGGGTCTTACTGGTGTGCAAGAATCCTTTGTACATCAAGGAGGTAAGCTCCTTCTTATACTTTTTCAAACTGTCTCATCCCAGTTGGTCTTCTGTCCTACTATTTTTTTAATCATGCAAAAATGTTTATGCTTTAGTCAAGTTTAATCTTTTCTTGAAAATTTCACATAAGCAGAAAACCTGAAAAAATAATATAGTGATTATCGACAGATTCCTCCCAAGAGGCCTCCAAGCTGGTCCAAGCCATTCTCGGCTCCTGGGGTTCGGGGCTTTGTCCCTTTTCTCCACCTTCAATTCCCACGTATTTGTGTCTATTTCTGTTTAATAGACACAAGTCTACAAGTCAGTAGCAGAATTCTTATTTCCATGTTTTATAATATGTTTTAATGTCAGATTGAACTACACTCTTTTGTCTCTTTCCTTTTTCAATATTTTTAGTTTCCACACAGACTTTAGAATCCGCACTGCTGATCCTCCCGAACATCTTAGGGGTATTTTTATATTTGAATGCTGTGAAAACAACTAATTTAGGGAAAAGCACTATTTTTATGTGTATCAAAAATTTTCTAAAAATGGAATTTATAGCCAGGAGTAGTGGCACATGCCACCCAGGAGGCTGAGGCAGGAGGATCACTGCGAGTTCAAGGCCACCCTGGGGTATATGGTGAGTCTGAGGCTAGCCTAGACTACACAGTGAGTCCCTGTCTCAAAAAAAGAGAAGGGATTGAATTACCCAAGACTTCTTTTACTCCTTAGCATCCTATGAAAAGTTTTCACATGGATCTTTCACATTTCATAGTACATTTATGCCCACTTTTTAAAATCTTTTTTGATTTCACAGCAAAAACATCAGTTACTCCCACCATATTTTCTAAATAGCTAGTATTTCTTTTTTTGTGGGGGGGGTATGCCATGAGTCGAACTCAGGACCCCATGCCTGCCAGGCAGGCACTGTGCCACTGAGCTATATCCCCAGTCTCAGTGGCTACTATTTCTATATAGGGCTGTTATTTCTTTTTTGTACCGATTATGCTTCCAGCTCCCTTGTTGAATTTTCTTCTTTTGCAGTTTGGGGACTGAACACAAGGTCTCGTACATGCCAGGCAAGCACTTGAACACTGAACTATGCCTCAGGCCCCTGAATTTTTCTTAGTATCAGTAATATTTTGCCCTCCATCTGATTTTCTTAGGATTCTCTTCTATATAAGCATCTGCTCGCAAATAGCAAACATGCTCTTTCCTTGTACACTTCCCATGACTGGGTTGTCTAACTGCATCAGTTAGTAGCTCCGAAATGTTCAATGCGATGAGATTAGACACAGTTAGGCTGTTTCTATAGTTATTCCATTAACCAGGAATGTAGAGAGAAATCTAAGCTTACTTCACAAAAAACACACTTCAAAAAGAATCTTTAAAAAGTTAAATTATTTCTTAAAATATTTAAATATTAATTATCTGGATTGGCCTCTAAAATTTATGTAATCCAAATATAGCAGTTACAATTTCAAAAGTTATTTTTACACTCCAAGTTGACAAAGACCAAAAGAAAAAATTCAAAGGTTGAGAAAGAAAGTCATTTACCTTCCCGCTTTTCGGCTGCCAAGCAAGTCTGCAGATGGATTTTGCGTTTATCACATCATTGCACTTTTGTAACAGCAGCCAAGTAACAGCACACGTCTAATTTTGAACAAAGAAAATGTCTTTCCGTTTATGAGCATTCTCCCTACAAATGTATGTAGAACTGAATACGACTACTCTCTTGAAATTGTTACACATCTCAGAAAAAACCTAATACATTTAATTCTAATAAATACTTGCTTCACCTAAATTCTGTATATATTTTTTCTTTTGGTTTCTTGAGACAGGGTCTCGCTATGTAGTTCAGACTGGTCTTGGGCTCACTTTGTAGCCCAGGCTGGCCTTGAAGTCGCAGTGATCCTCCTGCCTCAGCCTCTCAAGCGCTGACATTACAGGCGTGAGCTACCACGCCTGGCTTGATTAACCTAAATTCCTTAAATCTTTCAGAAGTATGAAAAATAGAAGTTTTAAGTAAGAGTATTTTTTGAGCAGAATAAGCAAACAATATACTAAAAACACTCGTCAATACATAAAAAGTTTAATATACCTACAAAAATAAATAAAACTTGAAAGTTTAAGAGCGAGGAGAAGGCTACTGAGGGAGGATCTTGTTGTTCACATTATTTCCAGAAATCCCAAGCCTGCTTTTAAAATCTTGAGAAGGCGTAACCATTTCCTCCACCAATCTGGAGAGCGTTTTCTTTATACAGCCTTTAAAATCTGTATCGGCTGGGTCAGAACTTGTATATATGTTTAGAAATCAAGCATGGCCTGTACCTTATTTCTTCTTCTGTCCCCAACATCAAAAACAAGATCAACGCGCGCTAATGATCTCGTAAATGTATAACCGAATCCACCCCCTCTGAAGTACCAAGCTTCAAAAGTAAAATATAAATCTATCATTCTCCTTGGGACTGGAGACAAAAGCAATTAGATTTCAACATAGTTACTTTGGCATTAAATTAGTCTTTGCTACTCAGAGCAAGAAAATATAAGGAAAAATAACTACCTGACACAGTCATACAATGTACAACACTGAATATGTTAGAAAAGGGGGTAAAAAACTTCAAAATTCAAAAACTGCGTTTACCTGGTCTGAAATCTGCCACACTCTAACAGACCCGTCACAACTGGCTGACGCCTGCAAGGAGAAACAGATTTCTGTACAGTGACAGCGGGAATGCTACGCGGAGACTGGTTCAACAGATGCCATCGGCTTTCTACCAACTGGTGAAAGCTTTTCTAATTCTCATACCATTTTCAGCACAGTAAGAAGAACACACACACACAAAAGGGGAAAAAAGTAAAATAATTACCACAAATATGTCTTTAGGATCAAAAGAAAGACTTAAAACAGGGGCGTCGTGTCCTCGAAATGTTTTCTGCTGGCTGCTATCCATCACGTCCACAATTTTGATGAGGAAATCACTGTAAACAGTAAGAGTAACACAGTGCCTGAGTACGAGCACAAAAGCCTCTCCCAAAAGCTGTAACTTAAGGGCTGGGGATATAGCTCAATGGTACAGCACCTGCCTGGCAAGCAGGACGTCCTGAGTTCGATTCCTGGTACAAAAAAAAAAAAGCTATGTCTTCAATTATTTCACAATCGTAAGGATGAATGCTATCGTTTCTTGATAGAAACTTACAAGATGTGCAACTCAAATGTAATGACTTGCCTTTTTAGTTTTGCTTTTTAGATGTCGAAACACAAGTCAAGATTTCCCATTAGCTTAAAGTACAAACAGAGTCCAAATGGCTTTAGTTATATCCTAAGCTTCTACTATTTGCTAATCTAATTATAGCCACGATTATATTTTAAATTATTTAAAATTTTTATCAGTACACAATGATTATGTTCACGTGGGGAGACAGGACATGCACATGACACAGCCTCGTCCTTCTGACTTCTCCTGCACCTCCCTTCCCACTTGCGCGAGCTCTACTCCCTGTTTCCTGATACCTGTCTTTTATTTTACTCTTTATTTATATTTTGGGCTTCTCACAGCCACAGCCATTTTAAAAAGTACTACGCTTTTTAATTCAATTCAAACAAAAACACTTCTCTAGGACAAGCCTGAAGAGGATCTATTAAATTTCTGATCCTTGGGGCTGGGGATATAGCTCAGTGGCACAAGCGCCTGCTTGGCAAGCGCAAGGTCATGAGTTCGATCCCTGGTACCACAAAAAAAAAAAATTTCTGATTTTCCCCAAAATACTTAAAAAGTTCATATGAGTATCATCATCCCCCAATCTGTTTCAGCATTTACTCAACAGGCTGTCTGAAAAGCAAAATATTTCACAAAAAAGCACAAATCTGTCTTTACAAACCCTTACTAGGAAAGACTTGAATGAAAAGCAAAATGATAACAAAAAAAAACCTAACAATTATAAAAATGCAACCCTGAGACAAAGGAATGAGGCCTTTTTTCCTGACACTATTTTCTCTTCTGACGTCAAAGGGCCTTACCCTGACCCAGCGGCGACCTTGGTTCCATCCCCGTTGAAGACCACGTGGTTGGCATTGGTGGTGAAGCGCGTGAGGATGCCATCGGGCGCTCCCTCGGGGAACGTGTGCACCTGGACGGTATTGTTAGACACCGCAGTGACCAGCCTTCCGTTCTACAGGAAAAGCGGAAGTAAGAAACACTGGCATGACAAATCCAAAGCAATTGGGAGGATTCCCATGGTTAAAAACCCCATTAAAAAACCAAAAATAAATGTGTAGTTCACATCAAGAGAAAAAAATCACCAGTCAATGCACAGCTTTCCTGAAATGTCTACTAAGAATTGGCTAATTTTAGAAATCTTCATCCGCTTCAGCCGATCTTTTAGCCTCTAATTTTTCTCTTAACCTTTGGTAAGAAAAATATTAAAGTAGTATTTTTATGGATCCTAAACATAAAAATAAAGGAAACTCAAAAGAGCTTCTCAGAAAAAATGGAGAGGACAGGAAAAGCACAGCCACAGCAGCACGTTCATGTTGCCCGATGTTTCTGAAACAGAACCAGCAGCCTTTGGGAGTAAGATAAAGCCGAGATGGCCAACTGGAGGGACGGAAGCATCTGTAAGCCAGAGAGCTCTGAGGACTACCGCACCAGGACCTGGAAGACAAGCAAGGGGTGGACTCTGCCCCAGAGCCTTGGAAACAGCCAGAACTCCTCCCGGACACCTCGAGCTCAGGCTTCTGGATGACTGAGGCGAGGGGCAGTAACTGTCTAGAGCCTGAAGCCATCAGGTGGGTAGTGATTTCTTACAGCAGCACGAGTGAAAGGATATGAGGCTTCCCTTCTTTTCCTTATAATCTTTTTCACATGCAAAAGCAATATACTCACTGTGGGAGAAAAAAATAAAAGCGTCCTGAGACATACGCATTTACCTACTCTTACGGAGTCATCTCCATTTCCATTTTGGAGACAAGCCTTAACCCTTCTACACCCATGAGTGTGTGTGTGTGTGTGTGTGTGTGTGTGTGTGCATGTGTGTGGTGCTACTTTTCACAAGCGTAAATATCTTTCCGGTAAGCATATAGTTATCTTTTTTTTAGTGGCTGCATAGTATGGCTTTACTAAAAATATATAAAATGCTTGCTTTATTGATGGATAAATCCTCAGTTGTTTCTAACATTTGCTATGACCGTATTATTACTAACATCCTTGTCCACATAAACTTGAAAGTGTGTATTTTCCTCATGAAAATAGCCGGAGAAGATTGTGTATATCCTAGTTTAGACACACATCATCAACTTGCTCTTACTGGGGAAAAAAAATACCCAACTGTTTAATTTGCACTGCTTTGTTTGTGAGAATTAGTTTACAATTAGTACATGTTGGTCATTAATATTTTTTTCTTCTGGGAATGCACATTTTATTATTTATGATCTTTTTAAAAAGAATAAAGTATCTAAAGACCATTTCACCTACTTTAATGAGCCGAAAAATACTAATCCTGTGGGAAGACTTTTTCTGTCTAAATGAAATACACTCAAATTACAATTCATCACAAATAAAAACCCTAGTAGTTTTTAGATATTTAATTTCTAAAATCTCTCTGAAAACATCTGCATTCTGTAAACGGTCTGTATCTCATTCCCATGTGTGTCTCACACAAAACAAAATTAGTGAAACAGTCCTGTTTTTTTGAATAACACCATAAGTGACTGGAGTTAGCATCTGCATCTGTTCTTTGCTGCTGTGAAAATAATCATCAGGGTAACTTATAATGAGCAGGGCTGGGATCTAACTCAGCAATACAGTGCCTGCCTGGCAAGCGCAAGGTCCTTAGTTCGAGTCCCGGTACCAAAACCAAAAAGGAAACAAAAAAATTATAATGAGCAGAAATCTACTGGTTCATGATTTCATCCAAAGGCCTGGCACCCAGTGAGGGTCGCCTTGCTGTGTCATCTCAGAGAGAGAGATCAAAGAGAACGAGGACCCAGCTCGACCTTTTATAATGAACTCAGATGTGCAGTCACAAACCCACTCCCACAAGAATGCATGCACCGTTCCCAGGAGCAGCGCCCAATGCCCTCTCGTTGGCCCCTCCCAGTACCCTTGTGGACTAAGTTGCCAAACAGGCCTCTGGGGAACACATTGGAATCACAGCAACTAGCTAAAAATACCAAAGGTTTCCCTCCAAGAACAAAAGGAGAGCACTTTAACCTTTCTTGCCGGGCGTGGTGGTGCATTTGAGAGGCTGAGGCAGGAGGATCATTGAGTTCAACAACAGCCTGAGCTACAAAGTGAGCTCCAGGCCAGCCTGAACTGCATAGCGAGACTCTGTCTCAAAAAGACAATAAAAATTTAAAAAATAAAAATAAAACCTTTCTTACAAGAATAACCTTTTCAAGTATACAAGTATAACCTATTAATATTCATTGATCACCTTCAATAACCTATTCACATTTTTTCCCTTCAAAATTCTGGGGCAAGTCATAGCATTTTCACATTTTGGAACACCATAAGAGAAACAACAAGAAAGACACGTCTATCTTCAAGCTTCTACTAAAAGCATTTTCACTGACCATAAAAACCACACCCCGCACGGCTCACGTTACCTTCAAAGCACACGAATACGCCTTCTCGCCGACGCTGATGGACTTGGGGTCATCATCATCCAAATCTTCCCAGATTCGCACATCCCCGTCGCTTCCACAAGTCACAATACAGCTGCAAAGGGACACACGCGTAAGGAGTCACCCAGCCGGGCGTGGTGGCGCACACCTGTAATCCCAGCACTCGGGAAGCTGAGGCAGGAGGATCGTTGCAAGTTCGAGATCAGCCTGGGCTACAAAGTGAGCTCAAGGCCAGCCTGAACTGCATGGGGAGACCCTGTCTCAAAAAAATAAAAATAAAAAAAGGCCCTAAGTTCAATCCCCAGTACCACAAAAAAAAAAAAGAAAGAAGAAAAGGTTGGACACCTGACCTCAACTGTCCAGAGGTGATTATTCAGTAGCTAACTGTATGGGTTTTTGGTTTGTGTTAGCGGTGCTGGGGATCAAACCCAGGGCCTTACATATGCTAGGTAAGTGTTCTGCTGCTGAACTACACCCCCTGACCACCACTAGTTGCAAAGCTCTACTCTTCCCAAGGCTTTTACTCATTCTGTGTATGCCATACATGGACGCACATAAAAAAGCAAAAATAAAATTAATGTGAATTGTCTCCATTAGAAAAAGAACTGTTTGCCGGGCATGGTGGCGCACACCTATAATCCCAGCACTGGGGAGGCTGAGGCAGGAGGACTGACATGGGTTTGAGGCCAGCCAGGGCTATAAAGTGAGTCTAAGGCCAGCCTGAACTACATACCCTGTCTCAAAAACATGCCCCCCTGACCAAAAAACAGAAAGAAAGAAAAAGAACTTTTCAAATTGGTTAAATGACATCAACTTTCCTATCAATGTCATCAGAGGCTCAAAAATAAGAAATCACTCAGGGGCTGGGGTACAGCTCAGTATAGAGCACTTGCCTAGCATGTGCAAGGCCCCGGGCTCACTGCCGGCACCACGTGCACACACATGAAGTAGTGGGTGTCATCCCGCTGCCTCTGCCCCGCAAAATGCTGGGTCCACAGGCCAGTGCCACCATGCCTGCTTTCAAGGCCTTTCTTACTACTTGTCTCCTAAGACTCGTGGTCAACAAAACCTCTGCACCCTTTTTTTAAGAACTCATTCCTCTGAAGTCACCTTTCTTTCAGGGTGCTGATTTTCTTCTGCATCTCTCTCACACTGCAAATAGCCACTCCACTCAGTACTGTTTTCACTCTATTGCTACACTCTGCCCTCGATTTAAAAAGTTAAAAGGAAAAAAAAAACCTTGAAATTCTGCCATCTATGGATTCCTTTTTTTGTTTGTTTGTTTTGTATTCTCATACTGGGAATCAAACTTGGGACCTTGTGCTTGCCAGGCAGGCGCTTGTACCGCTGAGCTAAATCCTATCTATGGATTCCTAAAGAAAAAGTCCTCATTCCCTAAGGAGCTTAGCTCGGGGCTCATTCTTTCTAACACCATTCCTAGCATAATTCTTGGTGTTACCTATGTGGCTGGAAACCTCCTGATATGTCTGTCCTCTAACAACCCTGTCCTCTATCTTAGACTCCCAAGGCACACACATGTAATCCCAGCACTCAGGAAGCTGAGGCAGAAGGATCGCTATGAGTTTGAAGCCAGCTCAAGGCCAGCCTAAACTACTATCTCAAAAACAAGATTTTGTCTTGTCTGCACTAGTGTACCTATAATCGCTTCTCGGCCTTTTAGCTAAGATCAAGTGTACTATTGTACCTACAGCCCCCAGCACAGTGGACACAAATTTACATTTTCCAAGAAATCAATCAACACAGGAATGGCAGTGGAAACCACGCATCTGGACAGTATTGCATAGGAATGGGACTTAGAAAGATATCATTTAGGAATTAAGCAGAGAAAAATCAGTTTTAAAAGCCAGAAAGGTAGTGGGCTCACACCTATAACCCCAGCACTCAGAAGGCTGAGGCAGGGGGAATCACTGTAAGTTTGAGGCCAGCCTCGGCTACAAAGTGAGTTCAAGGCCTGCCTGAAGTTCATAGTGAAACCCTAACTCAACCAAAAAAAAAAAAAAAAAGCAAGCAAGCCAGGAAGTTTGAAGGACAACTACTAAATCTCACAAGCAGGCAGTAACAAGTGATCGGACAAAATTAATATGAAAGACAGAGAAAACAAATTCAAGAAAATGGAGAGGGGTAGCTTGCATCTTTTTTCTCCACTTTTCATTAGTACATGTTTGCGGTACATGAGTACATTCTTCAAGACGTTTGTTACATGTACGTATTTTAATTCTTTTTACTTCCCCTTCTCCCATGTCTCCACCTCCCTATTTATTATCTTTTACTTTGCTCTTTATGTTTTTGGTTTTCTTTCTGCTTCTTTTTTAATTTGGTTTGGTTTGTTTTGTTTTGGCTTTTTGAGACAGGGTCTTATTCTGTGATTTAAGCTAGACTTAGACTCTCTATATAGCACACACTGGCCTCAAACTTGCAGCAATCCTCCTGCCTCAGCCTCCCAAGTGCTGGGGTCACAGGCATGCACCACCGTACCCGGCTTGCTCTTTATGTTTTTGGTTTCTGACATAAAACCCGTGATATTTAAGCCTGCGTGTCTGATTTATTTCACTTAGTATTATCACCTCAAGGTGCCTCCACTTTCCTGCAAGTAATTCAAGGTTATCATTCATGGCAGAGTAGTTAGTACCCCACTGTGTACAAATACCACATCTTCTTTGCCCATTCACCTGCTGATGTACACATAGGCTGCTTTCAAGATTTAGCTATTATGAATGGTGGTAACTTGCATCTTTCCAACCCCTCTGGAAGTAAGATTTTTAACTTTTCGGTAAACAAACTTAAGGAATCCTATGTGTCACTTTAGATTTCAATGCTGTTCCGGTCTGTATGAGTCGTTCGCAGCGGACTGCACATTTGCTGTGTAAGAAGAAACGTTCCAGCATTTACACCTGAAAGAGAAACAAAGCACCTCACCTCCCAGAGTCATCGAAACAGACGTCCGTGTGTCCTTCTGTGTGTCCGTACCGCATGGGCTTCTGGGTGGCCGGCATCTTTCCTCCCCTACCTGAAAGCCAGTCCGGTTATTTTCAAGGCGAAGAAGGGAAGGGAAGCCGGGAGGTGAGCCTGCCCCAGGCTGCACGCTGCAACCCCGCGCTCCGCACCCGAGCGGCACCAGCAGGGCACAGCGGACAGCCTGCCACGCAAGAAGGCGGGAAGCGGCCCTGCTTCTCCCCGGCGGGCACGGGCAGCGGGAGCGGGAACTCACCCGGGCGTTGGAGCAGCAGCCTCAGAGGAAGGGATACCACCTACCGCTCACGAAAAGCTTCCCGCGCTCCGGAGCGCTCGTCCCACTGCGCCTGCGCAGGCCGCCTACGCCCCGCCCCCGACCCGCCCAGGTGCTGACCCGGGTCGCGGGCTGGTGACGTCACATCGCGCCGGCCGCGAGGGAAAGAGCCGGTTGCTGGGGGAATGAGGGAGGAAAGGAAGGAGCAGAACGCGGAAGTGGTGGCGGCGCCTGGGGAGCAGGCGGAGGCGGTGACTGCCAAGTCTGAGACGGGAACCTTGCGTTGAGGGGAGGGGAAGGCGGGGGCTGGCAGGAGGGCATCCGCCCTCTGGGACCTACACGCGGTGCGGGAGCGGCTGGGCTTCCTTTCTGCGCCTCCGCGAGCTCCCCGGGTGATGGCGGCGGTGATGGCGGCGGTTTCTCCGGCTGCCTGGGTGAAGCTGCGCTGCGGGAGGTGAGTGGGGGAAGGGTGGCCGCCGCCTGGCCTGTGGGCCGGGGTCTCGCCCTCACCTCCCAGGTTCCCTCCCGGGCGACCTGGCCGAGGCCTCGACCCGGTCCAGCCCCTTCGTGCAGCCCGGTGAGACCGATCTGTGGACATCTAGAGAAAAAGACGGGGAGACCCAGCCGAAGCTTCCATCGTGGCCTCCGCGGTGCCCTCACCTTGTCGCGTCCGTAGCGATAAAGGAGTAATCAGTGCCTACACCTTGCGACTCCGTCGAAGTAGCTCTTAAAAAAGAAATTTTGTGTTTTCCCTAGTCAGGTCTCACCTAAAAGTTGACCAAAGTGGATCTTTACATCTTAAAAAAGAGTTAGAACTGCACTGTATTGTTGAGTGCTTCATTCGATCCTTGCGATCTTTGCTAAGGTCTCGGGCTTTAAGTTTGTGCTTGTGTCTTCACAGTCCCCGTGTTGGTAACCAGCCTGCTGGCCGATGAAAACCTTCACAATGCTACTCTTTCATGAGTATTTATCTTTGAGGAATTTGCTGGATTTTTTTTTTTGGTGGGAGCGGGGAGGTTGGTGTCCTGAATCGAACTCATTACCTTCCACTTGCCAGGCAGGCGCCGTGCCGCTGAGCCATCTCCCTGGCCCGTTGGGTTTTTGTAGTACCGGGTAGTTTCAGTTTCGATCAGACTTAATTCAGGACCTAGCAGAGGCTTTTCCGTTGTAGATTTCTCTTTCAGTCTAGTTCCATTGTGAAAAGTTGCAAGCGCGGTTAGACCTTGCTCTTGGCTTAGTGGCACTGTTTGAGGCGTTGCTTTTCGTATTAGGGCTCCACATAGGCTTGCTGGAAACTGAGGTTTGTGCAAGAATAAACGGGAAGGGTGATTGACCCAAAAAGAAATTTGAGATTGTGAGAGAAAAATCTGCTGTTGATTTCCAACAAGAGGAAGCGGATTTGAGATGATGATGTCTGAGTAACTTAATTTTATTTAGAGATCATTCTTTTTAGGGGTAGACTGATTCATAATTTTTTTGTCTGAGTAACTTGATACCACTGGAGAGAATATGAGCTCTGCTGATATTTGTTTCTATTTCGAATAAATCAGGACGAGATTTTAGTGTAGTACTAGTCAGAACTCAGCATAAATATCTGCAAACTGAAACGAGTTATAGCTACACAATATTTTAGGTACATCTGTAATACCAAGTGACTTTAAAATTATGAGTGGTATCCAGTCATCTGCCCTGTCGGCCCTAGTTAATCAAGCCATTTGATTCCCAGGTTAAAGAAAAACTTCCTTTGCAGATTTCACATGTATGAATGAACCTAGGCCTTTTTTTTTTTTTTCCTTTGAGACAGAATCTCACTATGCAGTTCAGGCTGGCCTTGAACTCAACTCACTTTGTAGCCCAGGCTGGTCTCAAACTCTCAACAATCCTCCTGCCTCAGCCTCCCCAGTGCTGGGATTACAGGTGTGCGCCACCTTGCCTGGTGAGTCTAGGCCTTACAGTTGAATAATTCTGGGCTTTAATTTTAACTCTGATACATTGTGTTACCTTGAATGTACTTCTTTACTTTCCTAAGTGTCAGATCCCTCATCTCTGAGTTGGAGCTCTTACCAAATTGTTAGGGTCCATAGGAGATAGTTATGGATGTATAAAACTGTTATTTGTGTCTTATATTACCAATGGAGTACGTTGGGTGGGTACTTAGTGCTTTCATTTAAGGTGGGATTTAAATCATTATCCAGTAAAGTTTTTCAAATATTAAAAGGCATAACTTTCCTTTTGCTAATATAATATGTTTTCACAGTTCCATTTGTTTCAGTCACTGTCTCGGTTAGTTTTCTCTCGTTGCTGGGACGAAATACCTGACACCCAAAATTAAGGAAGGAAAGGTTTATTTCGCTTACAGTTTGTGGAGGTTTCAGTCCGTACTTGGCAGATTATAAGGCAGAGTGGCACATGGCAGAGGGCTACAGCTCATGGTGTCCGAACACAGCAAAAGCAACAAGCACAAAAGCCAGGAATGGCCTCAAGCACTCTTGCCCTCTCCCTTACATATGCAAACTATCCACCCCAAGGTGGGTGTAGCTCTCACACCCATAATCAATCAACTCTAAAAGCCTGCCCCATGGCCGCTTGAGGCTTTGGGGGGACACACAGACAAACCATAACAGTCACATGCCCACAAATTTTAACACTTTCTGTGAGTTCCTGGTCCTGTAGAAAGAGGTATATTCAGACCATACATACAAGCTAATGCTGCAGGAGGGAAGCCTGTGCAGATTAAATGCTATACCCAAAAATTGTCTGATTAAAGCAATACAGCTTTAGCCAGTCATGGTGGCGCCCACCTGTAATCCCAGCACTCAGGAGGCTGAGGCAGGAGGATCTTTTCAAGTTCAAGACCAGCCTGGGCTACAAAGTGAGCTCAAAGCTAGCCTGAACTGCACAGAGAGTCTCAAAAAAAGTAATAGAAAATAAAACAATATAGCTTTTTTAAATGAAATGAGTGTCACTGATGGGTAGAGTTTTCCAAATGAACGTATCCATCATTGACAGGGCATGTCTCGCAGAAGTGGACAGCTGTTGTGAGTACTTTAGTACTCCTAGGCTTACACATATTGTTGGTCTCAAGGGCAGTAGGTGAGAAAGCGCGGATACATTATCATTCTACCAGCAGTGGTGTTCTCTATGTAAATAAATACTGTGACACAATACTCCAGAGTTTATCCAAGAACCTATGTTGGTGCTGTCTTAGGGAAGTTCTGTCTTTATTTTGTAGCATTGGGGATTGAACTCAGGGCCTTTGCCCAGAGTTCCATCCTTTTCATCTTCAGATTTCTAAGATGTGTCTTTCTAACCTTTTTTGTGGGCTTCTTGTGGCCCTCTCTTTCTTTTTTGTTAATTTTGCTGCTTGCCTGTTTTTCATATCTAAGTAAGTTTTTTTGAAGTAATGCTGTATTCATTTTCATTAATCTCAATGTATGTTTTCATACATTTTAATCCTGATAGTAAAAACATGTGCAAATTTTACTGAGAGAACAGAAGCTAAATGAGTTTGTTTTGCAGTACTGGAGGTAAACCCAAGGCCTTGTGCATGCTAAGCAGTTGCTCTACCTCTGAGCTACACCTGCACCTCTAAAGGAGATTTCAAACAGTGTGTACTGGAAAGTGTCAGGGTGAGCACTTCAGTTCCCAATGTCAGTTTTTGCAATACTTATTTTAAATATGGGATAGTGAAAAAGTGCTGATTTTTAATTTTTAGATACTTTCTCTTTAGATTAAATTGGTCTCAAAGGGCAAAAAGAAACAGCAAAAATACAGAAATCACTTGCCCCCTAGGTAATAGAAATATACCTTTTTTCCTCCCCTCCTTAAATTTTTCTGACCATCCCTTGTATTATTTAATGAGCAAATATTGAGGGGTTTTGTGGGTTTTGTTTTGTTTTGTTTTGTTTGAGACAGAGTCTTACTGTGTAGTCCTGATGTGTACTGGAAGGCCTTAAACTTGTGGCAGTCCTGCCTCAAACTCCCAAGTGCTAGGATTATAGGTGTGCACCACCATACCTGACAATACTGTTTTAATAATTAAAAATTACAAATTGAAAGGGAAAGTACATCTTGGTTATTCCTTAAGATGTTTTAATAATGTATCTTAAACATTCTGGTTTCTAAGATTCTTTTTAAAATTCTTAGGGGTAAGGATATAGCTCAGTGGCACAAGCGCCTGCCTGGCAAGTGCAAGGTCTTGAGTTTGATTCCTGGTACCAAAAAAAAAATTCTTTCCTGTTTTTTTTGGATGCACACAGAATGATTCAGTCATGCTAATTAACATACTCATTGCGTAACTTTTTGTGGTGAGAACATTAAAAATCTATTTTAGCAATTTTAGAATGTGGATTATTTTTGGCTGTGGTCACCATGAAATGTGATAATGTGGTAAAACTTATCCCTCCACAGAATATGTGGAAATCTTTCAGCAGTGTCCACTAGCATACACACTGGGGAACACTGCCATATCAAACTAGTTGGGGGAGAACTGGGAAAAGAGGGCAATGGGAGGGTATGGTGGTACCAAACCAGGGATTCTCTTCCTTACCTTTAATCCCATTACCATAATTAAGTCTTATAAGACTTAGCCTTCTCTTTAAAAGAGATATTTAAAACATTTATTGAACTTACTTTGTATTTTTGTTTGTTTTGGTTTGGTTTTTGTTCTCTTTTTATATGTGTTTTAAAAATTTTAAACATTTTTCTAGATATGGATATGAACAAATCCATTATTTTTCTTTTTTTTCTGCAACACTCCAAGGAATTCATCCGTTGTCTGCTACCCAATAAATTCCTTATGTAGGGCCTAAACATTTCTGTAGAATCCAAATCAAATACCACAGAGCATGATGAGAATGCTTTCAGGAAGTGTGGTGCACACGGTAACAAGCAAGCCTGGAATCTCGGATTTGGTAGGCAATGTCCCGGGGCTAAATTACTACGAGAATAATAATGCGTGAATTTTTGTATGTAACATGCTGAATTCTTATAGAATAAATTTATTTTGTTAGTGTTTATGTGAATTCTGGTCTTAGATGCACATCTGCATTTATAGACATAAATTCAGTGAATAAGTAAAAATATATAATACTGTGTTATCTAATGTCTTAGAGAATACAAATGAATTTTCCAGATAAAGCTTAACCTCTTGTTTGTGACAGTGTCACACAAGACGATGCTTTTGTTATCCTAGTCACTGCAGCTGGTGGTGGAACCAGAGACCAAGTGTCTGCTGAGTTTGGAAACTTGCTTTCTTGAAACGGCTTTTCTAGAAACTTGTGTTTCAGCCATTTGTGTCTTGCTCATTAAGAAATGATTTTTTAAAATGTCACTGTTTACTCCCCAGAGCATTGTAAGTTAGCTCCCTTCATAAAAAATTAAATCAGGAGCCAAAGCAGTGATTCTTCAGTCTCTTTAAAAAGGAAAAAAAGCTTCTTTGCAACTACTATCAAA